TGGATGATGTTTGTGCAGATTATTCACAATCACACATTTGGCAGGAGCAGGTTTAATAAACCCAGACTTTAGTTTCTGCTCCATAAACCTGCTGTGATGTCTCCCCACAGCGTCACTCAGCCGGCGACGGCTTTATGGCTAAACGTTCAGTCCCGTTTCATTAGTATGCTGACGGAGCGGCGAGTGAAGACACGAGGGGAGACGGACAGGGAGGAGAGATTAACGAGAGACAGACGGACGTGACAGAGATAAAGAAAATGGGAGACTTAGTCATGTTTTTGTGGTTATGAATGAGTCAAATTAATCCTTTTATCACATTTGTTGTCTTTTGTGTCCACTGAGGTCAGCATGTCCTCTCCCTCCTCCCTCTCTCTCTCTCTCTCTCCCTCTCTCTCGCTCTCTCTGCGTCTAATTGGTCGGGTCCGAGACAGGATGAAGTCACAGTTGGCAGTCAGGCAGTGTGTCAGAGAAGTAGGACAGCGGTCTCAGAGCGACAGAGGAGACAAGTGGCACATCGGAGAAATCACCTCCAACTTTTTATAAGCAGAGATCCCCTCGCTCGTTGAAACGTTGACCTTCATCCAGCTCGGGGCTAAAGCGTTTCCCTTAGACAACCTCTAGTACGCTGTCCTAGACTCCTGGACTACAATCATACCAACGTTTTCACATGTGTCGGTTCATTTTTAGTGTTTTTCGTTTTAGCATAATTCTAGCTGTATTGGTCTAGAGCATGATTCCAAACCTTTTCTCCTTGGTGCCCCAACTAGGGGGGTCCGTATTACTTTTCTGAAAAGTTACTCAAAATGTGCGCCTTAAAGACTTAATAACCATCTCACCAACTAAATAACCGGTCAGTTTCTGCACCTTTAGAAATATCAGGAACAATCTGCTGTCCACGTCAAACAGCTTGCTGTGATGAAAAAGACACAGAGTCGATCACAGAGCTTCAGAGGCTGTGATTGGCTCCTTTGAGATCCCGTCTCTGCAGTGAGAAATGATAGTATGCACTCGTTTCCTTGTTTGTTTGTGTGGTCTGGTTATCTCCATGTCTTAACAGTGGTGACGTGCTCATTCTCAGGTTGTTCGTTGTTATTTCTCTCAGATAATAAGGTGTCTGGTTTGAGTTTATGAGCGTTGAGAGACGCTCTGAGTCTGAATCTCTCCGCCCATCAGTCTGTCTGCTCTCCAACAACTCTGCTGACTCACTGGAGACAATAAAGAACTGCCGTTATTTATCCCGGCTGAGACGAGGAGCGACCTTTGAATCAGACACGCCGGGCCTCTTTCAAACACTCTCTGATCCAGATAACAAATTTAATATTCGAGTAACTTTTGTGGGGATTTAATGAGGTTTCATTCGTCCTCTGTTTTGGTCATTGAAGGTACTTTGTAGAGCAAAATGAAATGTATTCTCCAAAATCAAAGTCAGCAATATCGTATGAATAAATTATTCCAATAGCTTATGCTACAAAGAAACAAACACAGATTAACAGGGGGGGGATTTTTTTGTGTGTGTTAGCTATGTTAGCTAGCTACTCGTTAGTTGAAGGACTGATCAATCACAGGTAGCCCCGCCCTGACTCCTCCCCCTATATCTGGTCTCTTTGACTCTTAAGCCCTGAGTATACTCGTTTTTAACTAGGTGTACACAACCACATGACATCAGCCTTCTTATCCTGCGGTGGTTTGGAGCGTTGGTTGTGCACCTCCTCAGAAATTAAAGCTACGTGTCTGCGATATGCAATACGCATATATAACCACTAGGGGCAGTGTAGAGTTGTATGGTGATGAGACCGGAAGCAACATCAGAGAAACCAGAGAACTGCAATAACAAGAAAGAAAAGTAAATATATCAACTACCCGCACTATCACGTGTCGTTGCTGTTGCATATCTAAATAATGCGTAATTAAATAGCTGGCGACAGATCATCTCTATTTCTGTGTTTTATGCTGTCTGATTTATGTGGAGCTCCCTCTAGAGGAATTGTCAAGTAACACACATTTCGGTGTACAGAGGGAGACAGCATTTCCAGCATGGATGGGCCTCCCGCGCCCCTGCAGGAACAGACGGGTGAGGCAACATCAACAAATATTTACAGTCTATGGGCAGAACGCTGCAGGGCTGCCAGTGGAGGGCTGCTCTCCAGTGCTGGGAGAAGAGAGTCTATGTAAGAATTGCAGAATGAGCCGTTTAGCGCCCTCTGCAGACTCATCCTTGAATTTCTCCAACATACCTTCACCTTGTGGTTTTCATTCAGCAGATGGAGGTAACTCAGGTTTCATGTTGTATGGCTGCAGAAGGTTCTTTACAGCCTTCACCTCCATTTACAGATTACCCGGAGCAGGGACCATAAACGTCTCCAAGGAGGAGAGAGTGTTTCTTTACACAGAGAATAATGTCTGGATGCTGCATCCTGTGATATCCTATATATATGTGAGTGTCATATTTCACTTTAACGGTGCGTTGCAGCCCGAGGTTATTGTCCTGTGAAGCGGATGGATGTTATGAAGGTGTGGACATTTATTCTGTGCGTGCTGTGTCAGAGTAATGGCTTTAATGGGCCAGCGTGGCTCATTACCTGCACAGCACAGGCCTCATGTCTATAAGACGTTACAGAGGAGGTTCACGGGCCAAATCAATATTTTGTCTCATATATGATCCATTTCATCTTCTGCTGAGGTTGAAAATGTTTCCTGTTGGATGATTTTCAATTTTACAGTCTTTCCATCTTAACCGAGAAGTGTGTTGATCATTTTTAGCACACGAGCTGTGAAGTACATCTACTTCCTGTTACGTTAAGTTATTATATATTGAGCATGATGGCACACCTATGTCACCTTAAGAGTCTGTTTGATAAGTATATTGTATTCCTTCACTGTTCTGTGCAGTTTTAAAACCAGAACAGCTGACATTTTTAACCCTTACTGCACCCAACTGAGCGACTTTCCGGTGTGACTTCTTTGCATTAGCAAAATACTTATAGAGGGAAATTAAATGCACATACATTTTGCTTTCCATAATACTTATATTGCACAAATCTACAAAATATCACAATCAGGGTTTCAGACCAGTTTCAGACACTTTCAGGGAAATGCAGAAATGTCCTTCCAGAACATTGACTTTAAAGGAAGTATGTGGGACTTTTTGATCCAGTAGATGTCACCCTTCAGCGCCGGCACTAAACCTAAACAAACTGCTGTTTGGCTACAACACCACTATTCTGAAGCACACGCTCATCTGGCACACGTCCAACCCCACTTCACTCGCATTCGCTCGGAGCAGTTATGAATTAGAACGCACCCTAATGAAGCACCATTAAGTGCAAGCTGCGGACAAAATTGTCCTTTGCTCGAGCTGCAGTCACCTGTGTCCTGCATTGTTGTGTTAGCATGCTAATGTTAGTCCTCTTTAGTTAGCTCGTAGCTTCACATTGCACATAAGAATGACAGAGATCTAAAAACTCTTACTAACATCCAAATAATCAGAGTATGTTCTTCTTCTTCTCTCTAGTCCTTGACTAAAACAGCTTTAGGGGAGGAGCCGGCCGTCCCGTCCATGTAAACATGGCTCTGACAACAACACAGCCAGCGGGACTCGACCTTCTCACTCATTGTTGACAGTCATGACTCAGAGAGACATTTACACAGGATACACTGGATTTATGATATATTTATGTGTAACATGTCGCACATTCTTCCTTTAAACTTCCAGGCTGTTGAAACAAAGTCATCTGTATGAGACTACATTCTGTTTGTCGGTGTAGAAGTCACACTGTGTTGTTGGTGTTTTCAGTGGCGGCTCATTAATCTCTCACGTTAACTCAGTCCAACATGTGTGCGGCCTGAAACGCATCACTGACTCAGGTGTGTGTGTTTGCGCGCAGGTCCCAGCTGACTGTGTTTAACTGTACTTAACACTGTGCTCCTGTGGGAAAATGTACAGTGTGCATCCTGCCCGCAAGACTACAAGAACAAATCCAACATCGACTGGAGTTTCTCTCTGAAATAACACATGAAAGAAGATGGAGGGATTGAAAAGAGCGAAGGGAGAGAGAGTTTCCCACAGATCCTCTCCCTGCCTCTTAAATCCAGCCTATCACAGGAAGTCTTATTGATTTGAAGTTGGAGACGTGCCTTGAAAACAATGACACAGTCTGAATACTTTTAACCATCAGAGCTGATAAGTGAAACAGTGAAGCAGATATTCCTCCTAAATCAGGAGCTAAGGTCGTTCATTTTTAGCAGAAGTCACATTTCACAGTGTTTATTTAGAGGCTCGTGTCGGACGCAGAAGGAATGATTTTCTTCCTAGAACAAGTCAGTGATATCAGTCAACATGTGCATCACAACAGGAGATTCAGGCAAAATAAGAACATACATGATAACTACTTTAGACATCTAAAACACCTTCCACACATGCATAAAAACTCCTGAAGATTTTCCATGTGAGCTGCATGTGTGAATTCGAAACAGAGAAGTTTTTCATCGGGACTTGATCTGATCTTTTCCTGCCAGCCACCAAGTCAAATGTCCTCGTGAAGACGGGTGAGCTGTATGTGAATGCAGCAGGAAATATTCTTGGGGAAAAACAAAGTTGAAGTTGAGTTGAGCTGGGCGGAGGTGATATTTCAATTACGCCCCTGGTTCAATCTGTGTGCACACGTTACAAAGCAGATTCGTACTCTTTTCTGCTTCTTTTCTACTCTTTCTTTAAACTGTAAATCCGTTCATTGATATAAAGACATTAACGGTCATAGTGCCTGATTCTGACACTTTTCCACCATCTTGAATATGTTGTAAACATTGCACTGTGACTGTAGGTCATGCATGCTTGTCAACAATGTCGTGATGTTTCCTTTTAGGACCAAAGAAAGTGGACATTAGCTCTTCTTCACAAACTGAACTCAACGCAGCATCTTCTCTCCAGCAGAATGTATTCTTCAGGTCATTCTCCGACAGAAATATGTGAAATCCTCCTCTGTTGTCTCTGTCTGCTGCAGGCGTTCGGCCAGGCCTACTCCACCCAGCGTAAGGTGGCAGAGGATGGAGAGACCAACGAGGAGACGCTGCTGCAGGAGTCAGCCAGTAAGGAGGCGTACTACATGGGCCGGCTGCTGGAGCTGCAGAGAGAGCTGAAGCACAGCCGGGCCACCGCAGCCAACTGCCAGACCGACAACGAACACCTGAGCGGGCTGCTGCAGGAGCTCAGGGAGGTACTGTACTCAAGGAGGAACTGTTCTGAGGTGTACAGAGGGAGGTGTACTGAGGGAGGTGTACAGAGAGATATGAACAGGGGGAGGTGTACTGAGGGAGGTGTACTGAAGAAGGTGTTCAAGTGTACAGAGAGATATGAACAGGGGGAGGTGTCAGGGATATCATATGAGAAGTAGAAAGAGTGTTACCACATGAGTTCAGCTGACCACACAGTTACTTCTCGTCTCTTTGTTGAGTTATCCGTGTTGTACAGTAAGCAGCGTGCGTCTCCAGCTCTGTGTGCCTGCTCTGTCTCAGCAGGGCAACGAGATGTTGGAGCTGCAGAGGAGTCGCATGCGAGAGGAGATCCGAGAGTACAAGTTTCGAGAAGCTCGGCTCCTGCAGGACTACACGGAGCTGGAGGAGGAGAACATCTCTCTGCAGAAGCTGGTGTCCACGCTCAAACAGAACCAGGTGATTCACACTGACATCATCTCCTGCAGCGTGGCTCGTCGGAAAAGCAACCAAAACACTGACTTTGTACAAAACTGCAGGAAAGTGCACAAGCTACTAGCTGGACTAGCTGCTCGGCTGCAGCAAAAAGAAACAATTGAAAAAGTTCTTTGCTCTTCAGAAACGATGCTTACAAAGCTGTGTCTGTCCACTGTCTGTGTCTGTGTTTACATTTCTCATCTGTCAGTCAGTCCTGCACGGCAGCCCGCCATTAACGACAGGAAAAAGTTAAGAATAATTTATTCTGAGCAAAAGAATGTTTTTGGAAAAAAAAAAGTTTCAGCGACTGCAAAAGAAGACGAGGAAAACATAAACACACAATATATAAACACAGAGTGTATTTTCAGTCTCTGCCTTTTGGAGAAATGTGTTTGTTTATGCATCGCTGTTTGTTTGTATCAGGAAGGATGGAGCTTCAATCACTTCTCACCTCCTACGCTGGTTCCAAGCTAAGAAACAGTGGCTTTAACAAAACTGTTACAGAACAAAGACCACCACCCACCGCCCCCCATCTGAGGAGATTTGTGTTGTTGCATGCGGTTTAGTCTGTCTAAATGTCGGCATATTTTAGCTTTACTAAGTCGCCCACATGTTCGGATGGCCGGTGTGCGAACCGATCTACTGTCAGGAAACTTTAATGCGGAAATCTGCAGGAAGTGATGACGACAAACAAAGAAGTTACACTCAGGCTGAGCTCTCCTGGAGCTTTAACCTGCACACTCACACCATCATTAACTTTACTTTATACTTTTAAGGTTACAGTTTGATCCTTTATCCAGATATTAACCCATCAATCGCTGGTTTAGGTGGAGTATGAAGGCCTGAAACACGAGATAAAGGTCCTGGAGGAGGAGATGGAGGTCCTGAACAGCCAGCTGCAGGACGCTCTGCGGCTGAAGGACATCTCAGACGGTCAGCTGGAGGAGTCGCTGGAGTCTTTGAAGAGCGAGCGCGAGCAGAAGAACCACCTGCGCAGGGAGCTCGTGCACCACCTCAGCATGTGTGATGTAGCCTACACCGGCAGCGCCCACCTGACCTTCACCTCCGCCCCGCCCAGCGGCAACGCCACCCCAACTACTCTGATGTCCCCCAACACAGAGGAGCCAAGCAGGTGACTTAAACACACAATGTGGAAAATATGTGAGGTTTATGAGACAGCCTCTAGTGGACACTGGAGGAACTGCAGCTGTAAAGTTGGACATTTTAACATGGGGCTCTATGGGGACTGACTCACCGCAGGAGACAGACTCTAGTGGACACTCGAATCATGTTTTAGTTAAAGCACTGCATTGTCAAAGATCGGATTCTATTATTTGAAGAGTTTGTTCTCACTGTAGCATGTTTCTAAATCTCCCTTAGTCCTGTGGATCTCCTGGATTTAAAGACTCTCTCTCCTCTCTCTCGTTGTCCTGTCAGGTGTAACGGTCACCTGCAGGGTGGGACTGCAGCAGGGACAGCAGCCGGGTCGGGGTCCAGGTCCAACGGAGAGTACCGGGCATCGGGTCGTAAAGCTGAGGGGGCGTCAACAGCGGACCTCTTCAGTGAGCTGAACCTGACGGAGATCCAGAAACTCAAACAGCAGCTGATGACGGTGAGTGTGCTTTCCGTTTTTTACTGGAGGAAAAAGACAGCGTGAGGGACTTAAAGTTGTATGAAGCGGTTCATTTCAGACACGTTTTGTCTCTTTTATTTCTCGTCTTCAGCGCCGGCTTGGCCCATAATCCAATATGCGACTCACTCTTTGTGAAAAGCTTTTGAATAATTTACAGTAAAGCCGTGCTGACAGACAGTATTCCCTCTGCGTAGAGCCCTCTGTCTCACTCTCTTTGCCTCCTCCCTCACACACTCACCACACAGCTGTATATTGTGTTCATACACACACACACACACACCCACATTCAGTTCCTGCAGGTGTAATCCCATCTCTCCCTGCTCCCAGCAGCCGCTCTGATTGGCCGAGCAGCGAGAAGAGCTTATTTTTATCTTAGCTGACACACGACACTATTGATCGGCAGAGGGCTCGCTGTCACTGCTGCCGTCTGAGCGGCTCTTTCTTCATTTTTATAAATACATTTCTGCACTACAGCATCGTTTCTAAACACCCAGTTACTCGTCACTCACTGGGAAGAAGTGGACTTCCATCGAGTTACGGGCTAGAGTTTGAAGAAATGTTTTCCTGTCTGTGAAAAAAGTCGGTGGTTGTCTCCCAAAGCTCAACCTGACGTCCTCAATGTCATGACTCGTCCACATCCCCGAAATATTCAGTTTACTGTAACATATGAGGAAAGAAACCCGACAACAGCAGCATTAACAAGCTGAAATCAGAGAAGTTCTGACATCCCCCGACCCTCGAAAAACCTAATCGATGACCTCAAATGGAACCTGATTGAACAGTTGTAGTGTTGTCATGGATAACATGGCGACAACAGGAGAACAACATTGTATCTGTTTGGGGGTCACATGACCTCCTCAGTGTGATCGTGTCGCTGGAGAGGCGTTTTCCGTTGGTGCTTTTTGTCCATGTCTGCCTTAACTGACGGCAGAGAAAGACAAGAAAACATGTGAAGAAGAAGAACGTTTCACTTTAAATGTTTTTAATCGTCTTTCTGTGACGGTGCTCAGGTTTAGGTTTCTGGTCTCCCTCCTCTGCTCTAACCCTGGGGGTCAATTATGAGACTTTTCCTCTGTCTTGATCAGGCTTTCATCTCATGTGAAATAATAATAATAATAATAATAATAATAACTATTTATATAGCACCTTTTAAAAACACAGGTTTACAAAGTGCTTTGACAAACAGCAAGAACAAAGCAAACTAAACCAAACACAGAAAACATTAACAACAGTAAGAATATAACAAATGCAAAATACCAAAAATAATTAAAACAATTCAACAGAAAAGAACCCAAAGTGCACGATACACAACCAGACATATATAACCCGACCAGCATAAGAACCATCATAAGAACCATCATAAGAACCCAGGAACACAAGAACCCAACAACATGAGCTGAGACCAAGAGGACCAAAGATTTAAAAAGATGTAAGAAACTAAGAGATAAAAGCAAATAAAAAGCAATGAGAAGGTAAGCGCAGTAAAATAAATAAAAACAAGTAGTTAAAGGATCAAAAAACCCAAAACTATAATATTAATAAAAATAAAAATTAACTATAAATACGAAACATAAACAGACAAAGTAAGTAAGATAAGAAATAACCAAGTTAAAACACAAGAGGAGATTAAGATATGAGCATAAATATGAGATAAGACCATAAATAAAAGACAGTAAGAAGTAGAAGAAGATAAAAATAGTAAAACCAGTAAGAGAAGACATTAAGAAGACGACATCACATAAAAGCAAGTCTGTAAAAGTATGTTTTAAGAAGGGATTTAACGACAGCATCTTTGGAAGACACTCATCAACACTTTTCAGCAATTTGTGAAATTAAATGATACCTGTTGACTATTTTCTCCATAAATCAATTAACCTTTTGTCTCTTAATTTCACAAATTGCTGAAAAGTGTTGATGAGTGTCTTCCAAAGATGCTGTCCACACCTCAAAGAGATTCAGTTAAGTGTCACGTAGGAGGAAAGAAACCAGAAAGTATCAACGTTTAACGAGATGAAAGCAGAAAAGTTTGACCCAAAAAATAAAACCCAAATAGAAATGAACTTAAAGCTGTAATACTGAACTAAAATCACTCGGCTGTGTGACAAACTAGTCTTCATTATGTATTCAAATGACCGACACAGTGTGCTGTTATGTTGCTGGAGGCTTTGTCAGCCTTCACTGCCAGCAGACGTTGTAGAGACAGGACACACGGGGGAGAGAGACAAAAAGTTGAGCCGAGTTCGGCTTGTGTTGCCAGACAAACCGGGGCTCTGCTCGAGCCGTGTGCATTCAGACGTTAACTGTGCCAGCTCTGTGGTCACCACACACTGTGGCGCTCAAATCAAACATTTATATATCTCATCTCTAGTAAGACTGAAATGTGCACACGCGTTCTTTCTCCCTCTCCATCGATGGCTCCACTGTGCTCCCTTCCTCCCTACGTCCGTAACCTGGGTGTCGTCTGTGATCAAACCCTCTCAGCCTTTCACCAACTCAGAAACATCTCCCCGCCATCATCCATCCCTCTCCTTTTCAACCGCTTAGACCTCACACACCCATTCATCACTTCCAGACTGGAGTCCTGCAATCGTCTCATCTACGGTTCATCGTTCAAAACACTCAAGAAACGACAAAGTACCCAGAATTCTGCTGCTCGCCTTCTCACACACTCCCGCAACCATGACCACATCAGTCCTTCATAACCTCACCTACAAAGCCCTCCATAACCTGGCTGTTAATCACAAGTTTCTACAATGGTGACATGTAAACCATGATACATAGAGATCTACTCTGTCGTCCATATATGATCAATTCTAATTCCAATAAAACAAGATGGTTACTGCAATCCCAAAGTCAAAGCGTCAGAGATAAATGAGGGATGTCATCTGTCAGAGTCTGGTAAACTGTACCCTTACTGTATTCTGTCTTGTTCCTCATGGTTGCTGCTGCCCCCTGCAGGTTGAACGTGAGAAAGCAGCCCTGACGTCCAGCCTGCAGGAGTCCCAGGCTCAGCTCCAACACACCCAGGGGGCCCTGACGGAGCAGCACGAGAAGACCCTCCGCCTGAGCCAGAGGGTCATTACCCTCCGCCGCCTGCATCGTCGGGCCCAGCTCCACCAGGAGGCCTACAGCAGCACCACCCTCCACCCTGAGGCCCTGATGGAGCTGGACCGGGATGAGAGGGAGGCAGCGGAGGAGGAGGAGGGAAAACCAGAGGAGGAGAAGAGTGAGACTCTAAACAAAAGTCAGGTGTTTTCATATCAGACGCCCGGTCTGGAAATCATGCAGTGTAAGTACCGTGTAGCTGTGACGGAGGTAGTGGAGCTCAAGGCGGAGGTGAAAGCGCTCCATGACAGACTGGCTCAGAGTGCAGCGGAGGAGAAGCCGAGGAGAAACAGTCTGCTCCAGAAGATGGAGAGGCAGGTGGCCTCTCTGGAGAAGAGCTGCAGGGAGGGACGGGAGAAGGTAACGCGCCATGACCACAATCAATGTTTTGGTGTGAAAATATCAGACACAGCTTCTGAGAAAGGGTCTTCTTTTCTGTCCTCTAAGATTTCCTCCCTGGAGGCGGAGTTACAGACGGCTCAGTCATCAGCCAATGAGAGCCAGGGGGCGTTGACCGCAGCTCAGGACGAGTTGGTGACGTTAAGTGAGGAGCTGGCCCAGCTGTACCACCACGTTTGCCTGTGCAACAACGAGACGCCGAACCGCGTCATGCTGGACTACTACAGGTCTGCTGGATGAGTTTTTTTACACTGGTCCTACTTTGATCAATCAGAGAAGCCGTCCTGAAATTGATCGTCCGACAGGGAAAGTTTCAGGCTATGAGGTGGATCTGTGAACAACTCTCTCTGCCTGAAATTTCTAGAAATTTTCAGGAGTGCATGTAGACAAACGGCTTCTTTTGCTTTCAAAGGTTTGCAGGTCAAGACAAACCAGAACATCAAAAAGTGTTCGACATCCTAGACTTGATAAGCGTAATTCAGATGATGAAATTTAGTATTTGCTGCCAGTCAGTAGTACAAAAGGGTGCAGTAATGAGTGCAGAAGAGGGAGGCTCAGACTGCAGCTCAGTGTCTGCTGCAGATCTCCACTAAATGTTCTGCAGGTTAAAGAATCTCCTTCACTCTGTTTTTGTTCCAGACAGGGCCGAGGGCTCAGAGGCCTCAGTGCCAGTCTTAAAGCCATGTCTTCAGACAACAGCAAGGTTCTCCTCACACCTCGCCTCGCCCGGCGACTGGCCGCTGTCGCCTCCTCAACGTTGACTCCTGCGGAGTCCCGGAGCCCCTCGGAGTCTCCATCAAGAGAGCCCCTATCGAGGGAGGGGGGCAAAGAGGAGAAGGAGGGGGACAGGGAGAGTCTCCAGGTCCCCTCTGAGCAGAGCCTGCCTCCAACCCGCTCACCCAGCATCAGTGCCTCTTCTTCATCGTCATCATCATCCTCGCCCGCCCTGGAGCCAGCCGGTGAGCTGCGCAGGGAGCCAATGAACATCTACAACCTCAACGCCATCATCAGAGACCAGGTACCACACAGATTGTCCTCATATCCATCCTAAAGCTACTTTACTGGTCGTCAGGTTCTGCAAAAATGAATCAGATCTTCTGAATGCTTTTAACTTCACCGCTTTTCGTTTTTTCTTTCCACCAGGTGAAACACCTCCAGCGGGCAGTGGACCGATCTCTGCTGCTGTCCAGGCAGAGAGCTGCAGCCCGAGAACTGGCTCCTCTCCTGGATAAAGACAAGGAGAGCTGCCTGGAGGAGATCCTGAAGCTCAAGTCTCTGCTGAGCACCAAGAGAGAGCAGATCGCTACGCTCAGACTGGTGCTAAAGGCCAACAAACAGGTGGGAAACATCTAGGTGATCACGTTCATATGGAGGATGATAGCAACAACTGTAAGCAGCAAAACTATTTCAATTACAGATTTCCTGATTTGATCCCAACGAAGAGTTTTAGGCCAGATCAAGGCAATAACTGTTGATCCTGTTGTTTTGTTTGTTTTGATTTAAGATCAGTGTAATTTAACTTAGTGAAGATTCTCTTGATTTTTGCACTCCTCTATGATGCACTGATGCGACCAATATTGGGTTTTCAGGCGATAACCGATATTTGGAACCGATACGCATTTACAGTAAAAACTGAATTTTTAATATATCAGACTCCAGAACAAGACTTTGTTAAAATAGTCAGTCGGAGCCCCTCCTCCTGCTCCAGGCCGCTCTCGTCTCTGTGCACGTTAGAGGCTTCCACAGTTCAGTGTTGATTGGCTATTACTCGTGTGACGTCGAACCAATCAGATAGTGTTTTTGGCTGGAAATTGGGTGAGACAAAGGGGGGAGAGAAAACAAACCCAGAGGGAAAAGGAGTCAAAGTAGCACACTTTTTAAATAGTTAATTATAACGCCTATCGGAGGAAATGAAATGCTGATACAGATAATTGAGCAAATGTCGAATATCGGCCCCCGGCATTTGGCCAATAATCAGTCGACCCCTAGCACTTTGCTCCTGAGAGATGCCGACCACAACCCCCCCATCGTCACTGCAAATGAATGCAACAAAAGCTTCATGACCAAGCACGCCAATAAAAGCAATCTGCTCTAAAAAGCATCGACCTCTCATCAAGAGCAGTCCACAGAAAACGATTCATTCAGAAAACTCATGCAAAGGATTCACGGAAGCAACAAACCAGGGAGGAGGATTTGTGCAGATGAAGTGTACAGCTGTATAATCTAGGGAAATCACTGGATACTATGAAACGGCCCAGATCAGGTTTGGATGAGGTCAGTTTCATCACTGTTTCCTGTTCGGTACGCATCTACTAACCGAACTAACGGTGTTATGTATGACAAGTCCTATTCTCTCTCAGTTCTAAAATTGTTTTCATCATTTCAATTGCCTCATCTCAATCGTATCTTTTTCTGTGTGTGTGTGGAAACAGCTCCCTCTGATGGGTTTAGTGCAGCTTTTAGTGAATGAGTCCATCAGTTTATAGTCTCTATGTTTACAGGCTTCCCTGAAACACATCCACAAATACGACTAATAGACTAGTAGCATTCCCTCAGTGCCTCGTCTGCAAGTCTTTAAGTCAAATGAGACTTTTGCATTTGTAGCAGCAGATGTGGGAAGAGAACCCTTCAATGTGATTAAAAACCTCTGAAAACACAGTTTGTGTTCTCTGTGTTCATCCAGACAGCAGAGGGCGCTCTGGCCAACCTGAAGAGTAAGTACGAGGCGGAGAAGTCGATGGTGACCGACACTATGATGAAGCTGAGGAACGAGCTGAAGGCCCTTAAGGAGGACGCCGCCACTTTCTCGTCTCTGCGGGCCATGTTTGCCACCAGGTCAGAGATCCACTTATCTCACAATGACTCAGACGGCTGTGTTATGGGAAACATGTCGTTTACACTGATGACGACATAGAGCAGTTCCCGTAAGCCCCACTCATGAGTGCCCAAAAAAAATCAATGAAAGCAGCTTAAAGTTGGAAAAATTAGGTTTCTCAAGTTATCGGCTAAATGTCTTAATGTAGGAACATGTTTTAGCTGCGTTTTCTCTCAATCAAACAATCAACACACTTTTCAATCTTAAAGGATTATGTTCATATTTTGGGAGATAAGCCAATTCACTTCTTAAGAGATGAGAAGATCAATATCACTCTTAAGTTAATGTGAAGCTTCAGCCAGTTAGGGTTGAGCAAATGGGAATTCACCAACATTACATTGTGACTAATAAGCTCCCTGAGTGTCCGTGCCAGACTGTTGTTTCTGTGATTGATGTTTTAATGCTTTTCTTCATCATCAGTGGTGTGAAAATATCAGATTTCCAAGCATGTCCCGCCCATATTCAGTTATCGCCATCGTCTGGTTTAAGAGTGGTTCAGCAGACTTCACTGATGGTCAGTAGAGAGGGTCCCAGCATCCGGTGTCTTCCTGCCCTCTTCAATGCTGTGCGGCATCACACTGCCTTTGGTATTCTTTACCCATCTCCACTCCATCAGTGACTTCTGTGTTCAGTTTGAGTCTCAGTTTACAACTTGCCATGCTGTTGCCCCTGCTCTGACCCTGCTACAACAACTAGCTTAAATAAAAACATGATTATGACCCCACCGCCAAATGGCCAGCATCTATTGCCGTTGTATACTTTGGACATTGTGACTGCCGAGTTAGTAGTCATTACCAAAGCCTACGGGCAGCTCCTGACTATCAAAACACAAAAAACTGAAGATGATAACTGCTTTGCTGGTGCTCACCAACCAGGACTTCTAACGTTAATGTAACTTTGAGGTGATAAAATACCAATTTGCCTGTTAGATACGTCAGCAGGAACGCCCCCTGAAGTCAGAACTCCGACTCAGAAACTCAAAGGAACTTCATCACCCAAGCTCAAAATCCAACATGGCTTCTCCATGCGTCAACAGTAAAGTGAAGCTGTCCATTACAGTGTTTATGAGCAACTTAGTCTTGTTTTTGTATAATTCAATCAATCACATCGACAGTATTGTGAATGTTGTTATGTTGCTTTCGTGGCACAACTATCACGTAGTGTGCTGTCATCGCTTGGTGTAAGCTAACAAAACAAAGGTACTCCCGGAGGGTCCGTGTTGCTTTTCCAACTTGTTGCCAACTCGTCACTGGACTGGACATCATTCCCAACTCTGACATCCGACTTCCGAGGTAAATGGAACGCACCATCAGGCTGCACTGTGGCGCAGTAAGTGGTGCTGTCTTATCATAGCATAAAGGTTCCTGGTTTGAATCCCCAGTCAAGCAGGGAGCCTTTCCGTGCAGAGTGTGCGTTCGTAGTCCGGCTTCCTCCCACAGTCCAAAGACATGCTCGTTAGGTTAATTGGTGACTAAAAATTATCCGTAAGTGTGATATTGTCTATCTCTATATGTCAGCTCTGATTGGCTTGTGATCCGTCCATGATATACCCTGTCTCTCGCCTAATAATGGCAGGGACTGGAGTCATAGATAATGGATGGATGGTTGTGTTAGTCCAAGAAACCTCATGAGAATGATATCGATCTTCTCATCCTCCAACAAAGGAAACACAAGTCCTTCCCAAAAAGTGTCCCAAACAGTTTGACTTGATCTTTATGGATTCATTTCCACATTTGTCTTCACCAGTTTTGACACTCTCTTCTGTTTCGTACATCTTCCCCCCTGTTGACTCCTTTTTCTGTCTTTAGGTGTGACGAGTATGTGACCCAGCTGGATGAGATGCAGAGGCAGCTGGCTGCGGCTGAGGATGAGAAGAAAACTCTGAACTCCCTCCTGCGGATGGCCATCCAGCAGAAACTGGCCCTCACGCAGCGTCTGGAGGATTTGGCCTTCGATCAGGAGCAGACCAGCCGCACCCGTGGTAGCCGGCTGACCCGCAGGAAGACCATCACCCCCAAAGTAAGTCACCCTGCCTCGACTTCGGCATCCGACCCAACCCAAGGGTCCACTTCAGCTTTGGCCCCTGTCAGCCTCTCACTTTCCAGCCTTACTAGTCCTACTTCAATCCTTGATGACCCCTCAGCGCCCCTCAGCCCGTCTATGGTCAGTGCAGCTGCTGCAGCTCTTGCCTCAGCGCTCGCCTCCCCCTCTTCGCACTTACCCCCTCGTAGTCCTTCATCACAAGCAGTCGCTTCATTGGCTGGTCCTCTTTCGCAAGAGAGCCCTCCATCTTTAGAGGCCCCCTCCTCTACCTCAACACGGACCCAGCCCTCAACCCCTATGAAGCTGGCTCACTCCCAGTGGACCCTGGGGGTGCGGACGTTTGTGGTCGACTCCCACAGTTACAGCGTCAACATCTCCCCCACTGTACCCCATAGCTCAAGCATCTCCAGACACTACACCCCCGACACTCATACCTCCCCGCCATCCTCCTCCACCACCACCACCACCACAAGGCCCACCCAGCCGGGATCGGCCCCCTCCTCTCCCTATCGATCCCCCATTTTGGGGCTCAGGCGCTCCACATGGAGCCCCTCAGCCCGAACCCGGCCCTTATCCACTCTGTCTCGCTCTTCTGCTTTCCATACTCCTTCCTCCCCCTTCCCTACCTCCCCCCACAACTACTCCTCTGCCTACTACAGCTCCTCTTCTGGTTTTACCCCCTCCAGCCCCTACCTCGCATCAAGCTCCTCCTTCCCCTACACCCACTCCTCCCACTACACGCCCCTCTACCCCAGATATTACAGTTCTTACCGGCCCCGACACTAACTGTCCTTTACTACAAAAGCTTTCCACCAGGCTCCTTATTGACACCAAAAACTGGAACGCCCGTCGTTTTTCTCCCCTGAGAGAGTGGCGGCTCACAGAGAGGAGGACACAATGGTTTTCTGTTTCCAGTGCCTAAGCTTTGGCCGATGGGTTCTGAATGTTCAGTGACTTTGCTCAGGGATTTGACATGAGGAGCACAAGCAGCCCTGCCTTCCTTTTATTCTGAGGCTGCTGATTGGTCCGCAGGAGGACGTTAATAGAGACTTTTTAATGAGAGTTTTTAGAATTTAGGCTTTCAGGTGGAGATAACACATGCATGGAGTAATTCAATCACTCAGACGTTGACTGGACACTCGGCGGACACTTTCATGACACATTTAATTCCGTCTTTCTTCTGTATTCGCTGTAATATCCACTCTGTTTCAAATAGTAGTCAACCTCATATACTGTATACACAAACACTGTAAACCACACAAAGACGAAGCACTTTTCTTTCTTGATGATTATTGGATGCAAAATGAATCAGTATGACTCAAACTAAATATCCAAAGGCAGAGTTTCGATCTATTTGGGATGAGGGTTGTCATAATACCACAATTTTAAACTTTGTTAGGATGATAGTAAAAATCTAACTTTACTGATACCTGTTGATACCACAGCAATGACAGAAAGAAGCCCCAGGTTGCCAGTCTAGGCTAATTTGAGGGTTTTAATTGCCAAAACTCCTGCACATCGACTCTCTATTGCATAAAAACATTGATGAAACGTTGGTCCAGAAACATTGCCAATGTTTAAGTGCAATTAAGAGTATCTCCTCCTCTGCTCTCTGACTATTTGTCAGAGACATACCAGTCAACATTCCTGCATTTTTATGAGACGCCAAATGGACTTGACAGACGTCCGAACTTGGAATCTGAACAGACAGCCACTAATTTCTCTCTTTTTCTGCCGCCTTTGGTTAAAACATGACAGACAATCTGGAGTTTCTGAACTTCCCTTGTGGATTAAGACGTCTGTTAAGGCTGTTATTAGCTTTGTGGTTTCGCACTCTGGATGGTAGAAGACAGGGTACGGCCATGAATGTGTCTTTGTTCGTTAAAGTGCCAGGTGCTGTTTCGTTCACCACAACCCTCGTAGTGATTGTAGCTCACATCTGGCCCAACCTGATGTGGTTGATAATCACATGAATGTTGCAGAAGTTGTTGGACGCAGCCTCTAGATTAAACATCAGAGGGATATGAGAAGAAATCCCTTTAGCTGGGGTTAATATGTTTGAATCATACTGACTCCTTTGGTTTCTCAGCTTTGGTTTCACTCTGTAATCTTTCTGACACATAAAACCTTTTATAATGAGACGGCTGTGTGTAGGCTAAGGCCCAATCCCAATTCTACCGCTTGGCCCTATTAGTTCTGAAGTGCCCTGGATTTGATGGTGGCTCGTGAGAACAGAACTACAAGGAGTAGAAAATCAAGTTCTATTGGCATTGTGAAGGGAGAGATTGAATATAATCAACATACTCCATTGTGTTGTCATTAAAGTCATATATTCAAGGAAATTGTAGGAATTTCGCACGATTATTTCTGAAGACATTGGCTTCCTTGTCCACACAAATATTTGTCTTTCATGTTAAACTGTCTTGGGAATGGTTCTTTACTTCTACCATTCCTCTTGGGGTGTACATCTTAAACACTCCCTTTGGGGAGCTAGATGAGTCCCACCCCTCATTCTGTAAGAGACACAGGATGACCTATGTCTTTGTGGCAGTGCTCAAAATGGAGAAGCCGTGCCAAGTGGTGGGGCCAAGGGCTGGAATTTGAATTGGGATCAGACCTTGGGAGTGCTGGACTGGTCATTGGTAGATTCTGTATTCACTTTCACAGTAGGGCACAAAAGGAATGTATTTGTTCACCTCAATGAGTATCCCTCATTTCCTGTCCAGGGTTGCTTCTGTCAGCTCGACCTTAAGCGAGTATTGTCCATCTCTAGATCGACCTGGTGGTCTGTTCGTATATATACATGTACACAGTTATGCATGTTCACATTTGGATGCTCCTATACTGCAGACTTCTTTCTCCCTTCAATATAAAAACAATCACATATCAGTCCAGGTTGTATGAAGGGTTGTGACAGAGAAGAAGGAGGGAGGCAGGTGTCGAGCACTCAGATATGACCGGTTTAAGATCAGCAGAATCTCATAGTCTAGTCATTCCATCGGTATATATATATATATATATATATATATATATAATATATGAATGTAATGACAGGAAGAGAAGGAGATTCAGAACTATTGGGACTTTCCTTTGTGGCTGATGAGAGATCTTTAAACTCACCATGTAGCACCCTCACTGATCGAATGTATGCAGGATAAGTGAAAGCTCATTCACGGCACCACAGCAAACTCAGGGAACCTGACGAACCTCATTCAACCTGGAAGAAGTCCATAACCAAACCAGACAGAAATCACATCGATGTGTTTGCTTTAGAGATAATTTTGGAACAAACTTATGACTTTATGAGAGCTTTGAAACCAACCTTCTGCTCCTGGGACTGAGCTGACACAGACTCCAGGAACTTCAAGGTTGACAATAAGAAAATTGTAGAACCTAAAATGTCTTTCAGTCGACATTGGCAAACATCATATCTGACATCCTTCCGCACACATGATGCCATCCTCCCTGTGTCTGTGTGTGCCGTATAAACCCAACTACACTTTACTGTCAGAGCGTAGCCTAATGACGAACGCCTGTCTCCAACAAAGACCAGTGTTCAGTGTAGCGCGCCCTTTATTTCCACACCTGTCGGTTTTGTGTGTCCTTGTTTGTGGCTTTGATCACTTTCAGAAAGGTGGATAATGAGTCAGCAGAGCCGGGTTTTAACTGTCAGTGGATTTATTTCGGTTGCTGTATAGAGTGCAGACTTGGTCAGTACCTCTTTCAATTTACATCTATTTACAACCTTCCTTTTCCACTTTGCATCACTGGATCTGTACTCACTATTTGTATTTTTCGTGTTCTGAGAATAACGTGACTGTGGACTTTGGTCCGACTCTGTAAATGGATGCACTCTCTTGACTGTAACAAACAAGTTTTTGTGAATTTGCATCATGGGGCGAAACTCATTTGACAGGCACTGATAGGTTTCAGACTTTTGATTCAAAGTTGTCTTTGCCAGGATGGGCCAACAGTTCAGCTTCATGGTTTTAAAACCATCGACGCTCTAAAGTTAGTCAATTTTTGAAGGAGTAAATGGCACCAGAGGAAAAGTCAGTGTTTGTCTTTTGGTTCTTTTACACTCAGTCCTTCTTCATATTTACTGCACTCACAGCCAGATCTTTGAAACCTGGACTTGATGTTTAATTTGAATCAGATAGTTTGCAGGAAAATACATTACTTCCACTATGAACCAAACTTTGACTTGCTTACTTTACTGCTGTCCAGTTTCTGAATGGTGCTGTATATTTTTCCTCACACTGAAGTACTGGTTTGTTCCACCAAATTTGAAAATTTGCCCCGACTAGGCCTGTGCAAGTTTCCAGAGCTTACGCCTCAGCATGGAGTCACTGAGAAGCGAATGAGTTTGATAACAGACAGTTTTTTAAGAATTTAAACAAAAAGGTGGAAAATATGTCAAAGAGATAATCATAAACTCAGTGATTTGTCCAAATGTCTCAGCTGTTTCTGTAAAAAAAAGGACAGTTTTTTCCTTACTGACTAGAGGGACACAGGTGCAGTGTTCTCAGTGCTGCCCCCTGGTGGCCAGATGCTACATTACAGCAATTCCAACAGATTGCCTTCCCCCAGTATAAAGAGACCTTTGCAAAATTAACGTTTTTGTTACCTAATTGTCGCTGTGAGAAGACACTTAAATTTAGAGGACAATAGATAGCTTTCATTTTAAAAATGGTCAGCAGTAACATTATGGTCTGTTAATGACCAACGTAAACACGCCTAACCATGGAGGATTGGGGTTTATTAAAGGAAGTTCTGATTCATCTCATGTTTTGTTCTGATCGGGTTCAAATGGTTTTTGTACAGAACTCAGTCTCTTCTGTCATTGTCAAAGATATAGCAAACGGTTTTGCAATTGGTTATCAATTTGAAGGACAAATATTGGCCTTTTTAGGGTATAGTTACAGTAACTGGACAGAAAAGTGGAAGCAATTTCAAAGTGCACAAAAGAAAATTGGGAAAAACTATTTTTTGTGGGTGTTACCCGTATTCTGGCCGAGGCGAAAGCAGGAAACCAGTTTGATCTCCTCTCTGTGACTCCCTCGCTCTTTCCAAAAATGATTCTCCGACAACGTAACACACAACGTAATACACACTCACACACACATCTCCAAGCTCCCCTGCAAACATACCGACGATGCTAAATTCATGATGAGGTGAAAATTTAACCAATAAGAGAGATAACCTGAAGTCTGTCAAATGATGGTTTCTGCCCCATGTTACTCAGTTTCTTGTGTTTTAGAGTGATCTCTGTCGTGATGCTCTCTGATGGTACCCAAAGAAAAACATCCAACACACATGTGTTGGCATTTTTAGCTTAGCCAGGCTTAGGTGGAGGCTCAGGTGCCATAAATTTGGATTAAAGGTTACTAAAAATCCTTCAAAGGTTGAAAATAGTGTAGGGTTGTATTGTAAACTGTATAATTTCATGTTTTTAATGGACATGCCCACCAACATTAAAATGAAGACTGTATTCATTTCACCACATTCCATAATGTCCAATTTCAAGAGTGCAGCCCGACTTATTTTGTGTTTTTGATGGCTCGCTTTCTTGCAGTGAAATGGAAAGAGTTTTCTTGTGCCCGTGACCCTGACAGGTGTGTGTTGGTCTTGGAGGAACTCTAGGTTAGACTTTTTAAAAGGCAGCTACACTAACTAGACAACCAAGAAACCTTTATACAGCGAGATTTAAGAAGCCACGCAGAGAAAACAGAAGTGTTGACGCTCACCTCCTTCGGTGTTTGGGTCTTCTCCTGGTTGGTCATAGTTTTTACAAGGATCTAGTCTCAACTGTAAAGGATCAGTCAATAAAATGTGTACTGACTGAAATGATAAAGTGACCTTACTATATGATCAGACATTAAGAATTGTGTCACTAGGAGCAGCTCTTTGTTTGGCCTTTGGTGCACCTCTTCTTAGAGAATGTCTGTCTGTAAAACTGGGAAGCAGAAAGGTTGCCCCGACACAGTTCATGGAGGAGGAGGGAGGTTAACCGAGGTGTGTGAGGCTCCTTAAGATCTCATAAACCCAAAGACAAAAGGCGTTTGATTTCGTGAGGGGGAAATAATCGCAGGTTGTGTATAACCGAATTAAATAAACGCAAATGAAACTGTTGTTGGAGGAAAAGCAGAAGTAGACTTTGATTGGAATCAGTTGCCATGAAATTATTGGAAATTTTAAACACATCAATGGTTGAATTGATGGACCGACGATGAGGGGCCTCACATGCATACATTTACTTTTCTCTGCAGGGCTGATATCGTCTGTGCTGTAGTTTTATTCCTTCACATGTTCGGTCTAACACGCCCACCTCCTGATTTTATGATCAAATCATTTTAAAGAAACGCCTCTTCTGCTTCAACTCCTGTCACTGCATCACTTTGCAATATACAGATACGTATCATACTTCATCGCGATCAAACCTTTATCTCGCCTAGCTTACTGTACGCAGCAGCTCGGAGCTAACGGCCTGCAGAGCAAACATCCAGACTGTTAAATATCATCTCACTGAATGTGTCCCGATGCCTGTTTGACCACTTTAAATGCACGTGTACATATCAAGTATTTTAAAGCTTTAACTGTACAGTGTTATGTTCATATAAACTGTAAATATTGATACATTAATACGTTGTTTGTTGTTGTATTTTGTCTTTATGCATTCTACAAAAGGGATGTTATCTAGTGTTATCTAACACAACAAACGTTAAAAAAGAGGAAGAACAAAGTTACACTTTATCTTTACACCCTAACCCAAACCTCGCTGCTGTGACGGTAAGTGTCGAGTCTGTCACTTCTTTTCTTTGCTCATGCTTTCTGTGTTTCAATCCGAGCTCTGACTGTGTATATATTTGCAGCTGTGTGTGTGTGTGTGTGTGTGTGTGCGTGTGTGTGTGTGTGTCTAACAGTGTCAGTCTCTTGCAGATCGTCAGTAGCCTTCTGCCACAGTGCCGCTCCTCGTTCCCTCCTCACAGCTGAAGGTTTGAGTCTCCTCAGCTCCTCTTTCAGGTAAAAGTAACACAGACACACAGACTACCTGCAGACTCTGGGGACAGATGTTCACTCAGTGCTCTGTCATTCTCCCCTCAGGCAACATGTTGTCCTGATTTAAATCCAGTTTTAGATAAAATCCCCCCAGATCTGAAAAGTATCGAGTCTCAGGACCGGAGTCCTTCAAAACGCAAAGTTTTGATCCCTGATTTAATTTAAAGAGAAAGTTTAAAAGGAATATTATCTTATAATATACTGCATTATTATGCTACAGAACCACAGTGATCCATTGTGTTCCATTGTGATCCACTGTAATCCACAGTCATCCACGGGGATCCAAAGTGATCCACACAGTGATCCACAGCAATCCACATTAATCCACGGTGATCCACAGTGATCCACATTGATCCACGGTGATCCACAGTGATCCACAGTAATCCACATTGATCCACGGTGATCCACAGTGATCCCTAGTGATACATGGTGATCCATAGTGATCCACAGTGATCCACAGTGATCCACAGTGATCCACAGTGATCCACAGTGATCCACAGTGATCTACACAGTCAGTAGAGTTACATGGCGCTAGATATTTTATTTTCTTATCGTATCAGACACTGTTTGGACTTTTAAAATGCATGTCCGACCTACATTGGACCAAAATCGGACCATAACAGACATCTCATAATTGGAAAAGAACACCTAGATAAGTTGTTCATAGTCGGCAAACTGCATGTAAACTCAGCCATCGTATCGTAATCGGATTTTGCGTTCTGCACATGCTCGAGAATTTCCACCAGGGCTTTCACCCGGAAGTGGAACGAGATGACGTAAAAGTGTTGTTGCCGGAAAGGTCAAACGACCGACAGCGTCCTTCTGCTGTTATCGCCGCAGCCAAAAGATCCATTGTTCTTCTAATGTGCATTATTAGAATTTAAATAATGCACAAAATGTATGTAGCTGTAGCGTCGTCCATCTCCTCGTACGCCATCTTTGTTTGAATGCCGCCAGATAGTTTGTTGTTGCTGTGACGTATAGGTCAACCGGAAGTGGCTCTATAACCACTTGTTGAAAGGGGTACAGCGCCACATAGCGTAGCGGAGTCAGCCATGCTCCGGCCATTTATACGATTCTCTGATCGCCATATCCGTATACTCAGACAAGTGACAGCTGTCTGTTCGAGCAGCAAATCGGTATATAGCTTAATCCTATCAAGCTATCCCATGTAAATGCATACACATGATACACGGTGATCCATAGTGATACACAGTGATCCATATTGATCCCCAGTGATCCACAGTGATCCACACAGTGATTGACACAGTGATCCGCAGTGATACATGGTGATCCATAGTGATCGACACAGTGATCGACACAGTGATCCACAGTGATACATGGTGATCCATAGTGATCCACAGTGATACATGGTGATCCATAGTGATCCACTCAGTGATCCACAGTGATCCACAGTGATCCATAGTGATCCACAGTGATCGACACAGTGATCGACACAGTGATCCACAGTGATCCACAGGGATCCACAGTGAACCACAGTGATACACAGTGATCCATAGTGATCCACGGTGATCCACAGTGATCCAAGGGGATCCAAAGTGTTCCACAGTGATCCACAGTAATACACAGTGATCCTGTTTGGCTGTACCTCCTCCTGATGCCTCCGCTCTCCTCCAGTGACACACCTCCAACCCCCCTCCCCTTGCGTCCACAAAAAGGAGTTTAGTGCAGGCGGCTGGCAAACTTGTCCTTTGCTGGAGCTGCAATCACCTGTGTCCTGCATTGTTGTGTTAGCATGCTAATGTTAGCGCTCTTTAGTTAGCTCGTAGCTTCACATTGCATGTAAACTGACACAAAATGACCTTGATCTAAAAACTCTTACATGAAGTTCAAATAATCAGTGAGTATGTTCTTCTTCTTCTTCTCTCTAGTCCTTGACTAAAACAGCTTTAGGGGAGGAGCCGGCCGTCCTGTCCATGTAAACACGGCTCTGACAACAACACAGCCAGCGGGACTCGAGCTTCTCACTCATTGTAGACAGTCATGACTCAGAGACACATTTACACAGGATAGACTTGATTCGTGATATATTTATGTGGAACATGTCTCTCGTTTTTCCTTTCATGATGCTTACCTCTTCATTTTTCACCATAAACATTTCTTTGTTGAATGTGTCTATACCGACATATCACAGGATAATCTGCAGTTAGCTTCTAGGTATCAAACCTTAACCATGATCCTTTCTTTTTCTTTCTCTCCACAGCAGCACGTCGACCCCTTGTGGTTCACCCAGCAGACGCCCACCATGAGTGCCTCCTGTCTGGACTTCTCTTTTTCCTCCATCTCAACAACACCTGACCCCTAAACTCTGTGACACCGTCGACCCTGAAATCCTACCCACGATGCCTACACAGAGAGTGCCTGGCTCACACTTTTACATTTCTTTGGACAGGCTGAAGATCTTCTCCGACATTTGCAACTGCCAGCAGAGCCTCATGAACTCACAGACCGACCTGCAGACACATATTCATCCATGTACTCATTATTAAGACTGATTTGAATCATTGAAATCATATGAAATCCTGTTTTCTGTCACACTAAGTGGTTACTGTGTGTGTGCGTAAGCACAAACATTAATTTGATGTGTGTATCTGTATCACTACAGGAGAATATCACCATGCTAGTATGCTAACCTTTGTGTGCATGTGCAGCTGTGTAGGCTGATGCTTCAATCATTGCTGCTTCTTTTAACTCATATATTAAGTCATTACACTGCATTGTTTTTGATGTTTACTCATACTATTCATGCATGTAAAGTCTACATTAAAAAATTAGAAAAATCTCCTGTAAGAAAAGCACAAACTGAAGCAATGCATTCCAGAAACATCTTCTCTGTGTCTTTTAGCATCGTGTCCACAGCTGCAGAACGCGGACGTTAAACTCATCATGTGTTCTTTGTGGAGGTGACAGTGTTTATCACAGTGACAGTCAGCCTCCTGTTTGATGTCACTGTAAACTTTATCTTTACACAAATGCGTTTCACTTACTCGCAGCGCTCAACCAACTGCCAAAAACAAAGGCCAACAGGATCGGACTGATGAGCTGGAGTCTGCAGCGGAAGTAATGTGAAACTTTACGAGCTTTGATCTGGGTTTTGTCCTGCAGGTCAGACGCACTGAGAGAGCTTCCTCACTTCACGTCTGCACCACACTGCTGTGTAACACTCAAACAGGAAGGATTCACAACCTGCAAGTTGACCTGCGACGCGTCCTGGAGGAACAGGTGGAGGCTTTAGCAGCAAACCCGAACACTGCAACACTAAAATCACAGAGACGTTTTATGACTTTTTATTCCCCTGAGTCAGTCAGACTGTCCGCTGTTGATTCTTTTACTTGCTTGGTACAAAATGAAATCTGTGAAGAAGATGACTCAGCATTAAAAAAAGCAATATTGTTGTCAAATTGAAATAAACGACTGATATTAAGTTTGCTTTTCCTTCTTGTTGTACTACAGAACATTTAGTCTACGAAGTAAACGTGTTTGATTGAAAAATGTGAGGTTTAGGAAATGCAAGGAATTCTTCCACTTCTTTTTTTCAAATCAATTAACTTTTTGACAGCTTTTTACACGCCACAAAACACACCAAAGTTGGCTTGTGTATGAGCAGGGGAGTGTCCAGAGGGGTGGCATGGGCCCCCCACACAGTGTCTGAAATCTGATTGGCCGGCCCAAGTGCCACCCCAAAAATCCTAAACTTTGATTGGCTATTGGTCGTGTCAGAACCTTATAAGACTTACTATAAGGTTTATTTTTTTGGAAAAGACTGCTAGTATTTTTCTCTACATATCAATGTCTATTTCCAAAGCCAGGTGCATGGGAAAGTAATGCACTGCATCTTGAAATGAACTAACATTTTTACCGGGACCAAAAAGACAATTAAAGTATTTTTGCAATTTAGAATGTCTGCAGGAGTTTGCATGCATGTTTTTAAGTACTTTAAATTCGGACTTGAACATTATGTCTTCTTTGCACATTTCAGGCCACCCCTGCAGAAGTCAGAGCCCCAGTTGGGCCACCCCGGTCTAATAAGTCTGGACACGCCCCTGCACATGAGGCTTAGCGAAAAAATTGTTAGTATAATGGTTTGTTGCAGAGCTTTATTCCTCTATAGCTCTATAGCGTCCCCTTGATTTTTAAAAGGGGTCCACACAGAGGTTGCTCTGACCTACATTACATTTTTAAGCACCCATATTCTAACAGGAAGTCTGCCATTTTGATTTGAATTTCAAACTAAAAGGAACAAAGTCCTTGCAGGTGTTTCATTTTCTTGCTTTCTTGGAGGAGGAAACAGACGAGGAAGGCTGAGAGAAAAACAACAAAGTTTCTCACATTGCTCTCATAAAATCCCAACGTTTCATTAAAGTAGGACTTAAGTCTGCAGCCCGTTTGACTCAATGGTCTCCTTCCCTGTTCTTTCACTCTTATTATTATTATTACAGTAATATGGTGTATTTTTGATTCTCTCACCTTACCTTCCTGACCTGAGAGGGGGAGAAGCTGTCCACTTTGGTTGAGAATCGGTGATTAAATATATTTTACAGCATTTTGTCTTTGCAGTTCTCACATGGATTAAATCGTATTCTGTTTCCCTCAAAGCAAACAAATGATGACTTTCAATCAGCTTGTAGCATTCAATGTGTTCTCTGATCATACATAGATCTGCAGCGTCACAGTTTCTGTAAGCTCCATTGTTTACTCCTTTTAACCACTAGAGGGCGCAAATGTATAAGGATTACAGACCTGCAGCAGTAGACGTAAAGAGAAAAGAGGAGAGGAATCCATTTGTGGGTGTGTGTGTGTGTGTGTGTGTGTGTGTGTGTGCGTGTGCGTGTGCGTGTGCGTGTGCGTGTGCGTGTGCTCTCTCATCGTCTCCTCTGTGCAGATCGAGCAGCAGGTTTTTCCTCCTCACATGAACAGGAACTCTGCAGAATAAAGATGGAAATGAAATGAATTAATTGTTCTCGACTTGTCTCTGTTCGGGCTTCTTTGGTGAATTATTCAAATGAAGTGAGAGTGTTTGGGGACTTTCTGAAACGCCTTCAAAGATATTTAAGACGTGACCTGAAAGACGAATGAGCGCTTATTTAAGGTTCTTCATCAGGACTTTAGAGTACACTACTTGCTGTGTGCTTTTATTTTGAAATACAGCAAGGCCCTTCTGGTAGATGAAAGGTTAGGTCATGAAGTTAAGAACAGAAACAGGAAGTGGTTAGGGATCCCAAACTGAGGTCAAACAGGTCAAAGGAAGGGTAACAAAGGTCAAAGTGTGATGTCATAAGGTGGATATTACTTTGGACTCGTCAGCTGAGCTGTCTGAGAGTTTGTTAAAGTGAAATGAGACATTCAAAGATGCAGCAGTGTCCTTCTTTAACATCACTGAGACTACAGGGAGACACTGAGGACGACTATCTATGGTGAGCCTGAAGGGACAAAATAACATGAGGTTAATCACAATTAACTCATTAACACTGACAGCCCTAATTTTCTAGTATTATAAATTATTATGGGGAGTGGGACATTTTTTTGTCTCATTAAATGAAAAGGAAACATAAAAAGAGCAGCAGCTTCTTTTCTGTCTGACTCTCAGCCTGAACATTGTACACAGAAAAATTAGACAGAAATGAACACTGCAATTTAGAGGCTTTTAGCATCCATCCCTCTGTTTGTGTTATCGTTGCTGTGGTGATAAAATTTTGAAATAATGAAAGTAGTGGTGCATGAATAATTCATGACATGAATGAAATTGATTTCCAAGAAAAGTGTCTGTAGTGATGTTTCCATGAGTGAACCTGTTTATGTGGATGTTGATGAGTCTCCATTATGTCGCTCTATGATGTCATGTAATGGTGCTCCGAGGAAGAATATGAATGTTTCTGTCGTCCCACTGTTTGCAAATCAAATATCAGAATTTAAATGCATATGAGCAACCACAGTCTGTGCATATAAATGCGTTAAACTTAATGATATCTGTATGCATTGAGATGGTAAACACCTTAAAGGTCATATATTCTCCTCCTCTTCAACCAGTGTAACTAAGTCTCAGAGCTCATCAAATGAGCTGTGTCTGACCACGCCCCCTCTCTGGAAGGTCTTGGGTGTCTCGGGCTTTCCCACTCCATGTCCTATTGTTTATGGTGAGAAGGCAGACTCAGAGGGCAGAACAAACACCTAGCTGTGGGAGTGTCACCCACCTGGGGGAGGGGTTACTGCCCTTTGTGATGTCATGAAGGGAAAATCTCCAAACGACCTGTTTGAGGAGACATTTTCTGAAAAGTAGCAGAGGACAAACTTTTCTCATCATTTGGGGGTTTGTAGACAGACTAGAGATACATATTAGTGTTAGAGGAACATGGTAAAGAGGATATGGCATAATATGTGACCTTCACATTTCAGTGTTTCCTGTTTAATTTTGTAGTTCCTGCTGCTGTGTATCTTTTTGATTGCCTTCACCAGTTGCCCCTGTGTCCAAACACACCAAGTCTATTTAAATAATTAATAGACTTTTCTAGTATATAACGCTTTTACACCGCATGTCACACCTACACATTCACACGCCACAGATGTAGCCGCACCAGCCACTTGGGAGTGAAGTGACTTGCCCAAGGACACATTGACATGTGACTGCCAGAACTGGAGATCAGAGCCCTGACCTTGAGAGAGGTTTGAGATGACCGACTTTACCATTGAGCCACAGCCGCCCCTATTAAGTGTCTGTCTGCTTTCTCTTCCTTGTCAGTTCATCATCTGTCAAACAACCCTCGTTTAAAGTACTTAAAATACACTGTCATGCTTTTTCTTTGTGTTTTTGTTGGACATTGATGGATTTTTGGACTCCTGAATAAGTGAGTTTTGTTTTGCCTTTTGTTTCAATAAACCATTTTGGATTTCTTCAGAATTGTGACAGAAATCACAGTTTGCAGGTAAACATTGGAGATAGTATTAAAGATTATGGTGGAAAAGTAGTAAGCCTCCCCTTTATTATCTGTCATCAGGTTACTCTTGTGCTTCTATCTAAAAATGGATACAAGCGTGAGAACTACAAGGGTCCCAAAACTCAGCCCTGTGGTGCTCCTGTTATCTTTAAAGAGTTGTTTTGTTCGTTTTTACTGATGATGTGTCTCAGTGTCTTTAATATAGCTCCTTAAATAAACTCTCTGAAAACAGTGTGGATGAAAAAGTGTTTGATTTCAGAACTGACACTTTAAAAGATGTTTCCTCCTCGCTGCGACATCCGTCCAAACATTTTTCACGTCCACACGGCTCCCTCCTGTGCTCCACGAGTAGAAGGAACTGAAAACTTTCTATCAAACTGTGAACCAGCTCTAAAAAACACATCAGTGACAAAGACCAGCATACTGTGTACACTAAAAGCTTTTTGTAAAATGTCACAGCAATTTAAAAAATGTCAAAGCAATATCTCAAACCTCGCACACAGGCACGACGTGTTCTGATGGATGACTGAGTGTGAGGAAGCTGGTTTCTTTGTTCAAACATGTAAAAACTGATCTGGGATTGAAATCACATGAGTCTCAGTTATCACAGATGCTGGTGTTCCTGTTCTCTCAGAGGATGGGATGCAGGAGGAACAGTTTGGCTTCGGTAATAAACTGTGTCGGTGTTGCTGCGAGCGGAGCCGTCTGTGAGGGGAGGCCTGCAGACGGTGATTGATCGTCTCAATCGACCCGCTCCAGACAGTCTCCATTACGGCTCTACGTGAGGAGACTGCGCTCGGCCCTCTGGGACGAAGCTCCACGCCTGCCGTCACCCTGCACACCTCTGTCACAGCCATCAGTAAACATTCGTCAAGTGAGGGAGGGGGAGGGCAGAGGTGACCACCAGCGGGCAGAACCATCGGCTGCTGGTTACAGAGCTGCTTCTGTTTGCCCAGTTCTCTGTTCTCATTTTGTGGTTCTTTCCTCTCTCTGGAGGAAACCTAAATCATATTTGAAAAACAGATGTTAAATTCTATTTCTCTAAAGATGATTTGATTCCCAACCTCTTGATATATTAAGATAGGACCACATGCCTACAGAGGAGTTCTTTTAAACTCTTTGTTTGCACTTGAATGCATCAAATTACAGGCAGAAAAACTGTCATTGAAGTATCAAACTCAGTACAGTCATCCGCCTTCTTACATTTCTCCAGCGTCTTTTTTCTTGCCTCCTGAGAACTTCCCACCCCATCCCTCTGACATGGAAATCTCACCTGTGGAGGACGTGGTTGAAAGAGCGATACAGGAAGATTTCAGAGGCAGACTGTTGTGAATTGTTTTTGTGAAAGTATTCAGGAGTGCAAGGTGTGAAAACAACTCATCTAAGCTGTTCCCACCTGCCTTATGCTAAGCTAGGCTAACCACCTCGAGCCCTGTGTTTTGACACATGCCTGTGATGCTGATGTGAATCTTGTCATGTTACTCTCACTGAGAACGCTGTCTCTTTAAAGCCTTGTGGGACAAAATGATGAGAAATTAAAGCTATTTCAGAACCAACAAGCCAAAAGGAACACAAGTGAACCTCTATTTTAACATTTGCACGTCCTCATGTCCGAATGCATGATCTGTGAGCACTGTTGGGGAGGTCTTGTGAAGTAAGTATGCCATTGCAAACCTTTGCTTTACTTTATATGTGACGATAAAGAGCGTGAACTCCATCTCTAGGTGCAGAAACAGACTTTAAAACTCTCCCCTCTTGGTCCCAAAGGCCTCTGTTCATCTCTGTAAGGCTAACAGCCTCCAATCCTCTGAATGCATTATAAAAAAGTCTGCCGAAATTCATGCATTAAATTTTAAATTGAATTAATGAGCGGCTCCAGTAAAACTTTTAATAGCCTATCCGATAAGAGGGATGGAGCTGTGGGACCTTCATTAAAGGGGAGTTAAAGGGATGGCTCGGCCGGGGACAGTCGGACTCCAGGGAGCTGATAAAGTGTGCGCTCTGAGAACATTTCATTTAGAGCGAAACAGAAGAACAACCGGCCGAGGAGGAGACGGCGGTAACATGGAACAGAGGAAGGTCAATAAAAACTACACGGACAATTTAACTATATCAGAAACTCTGTGAGGAGGGTCACAAGGAGAACACTTTAGAGGATTTCTTCGTCTGTTGATGTATAAAGAAATAGTCAGTAACAAGATTTCATAAAGAGAAGTTTAGTACACAAATACCATGGATAACAGATTTTAATAAACATTTCTGAAAATACGAGAAGAAATCATAATCTATGCACATAAAGACGATCAGAGACCCATGAACTGCCTTTTATGATATCATCAGGGGAATGACTCACTGCAGGAGACCGCCTGTAGTGGACACTGGAGGAACTGCAGGCTTTGGTACTTCAGGACTTGAGCTTGTTTAGTTCTTTTCTAGTCTTCTGACAACTCAAAGCGCTTTCACATCTACACATTCTCACACCGATGGCTGAGGCCGCTGAGTTAAGAGTCCATCAGTATTAACTAACGCCACACATTCATACACCGCTGATGAAGCAGAGGGAGCCGCTTAGGGTTGAGTTTCTTTACCAAGAAAACATCAGACATGTGGCTGCAGGAGCTCGGGATTGAACCCTTGTACTTCCAGTTGCGAGACAAACGATCCAACCACTGAGCCACAGCCGCCCGGGGGATTGTTTATTCTTGCAGCCTCAAGTGGACACTCCAGGAACTGCAGTCTTTTGCTCTTTCGCGATGGCTTCACTCTCCAGCACCAGAGATTGCTGCTTGCTTGAGGTCGCCAAAGCCACATAGCCCTGATGACCCCGCTATGACATCACCAGGGTTTACTGATGATGTCGAAGTGACTTGACAAAGCTTCTCCAAAGACACAGAGACATTATTCTGCTATTTATGGGCTGATCCTTTCTCTGTTTGATGCTGACATGTCACAACGACAGAGGGGTTCTTCAGCTTAGACAGGAGGGACTCTGGAGGATTCCTGCAGGTAAACAAACACTCAGGTGAACTCAGTCATGGGTCACATGACTCCCTCTCTAGGCGGGTTCAAAAGGTAAACGTGGAATTCATAAAGAGAGAAAAGATGAAACGGAGTCTGAGACGTGTTTGACTCTTTGCTTTTATTCAGGTAGCAGCATCAGTCAGACTGTCCTACTTACACACCGCAGCTTCTTCCTGCAAAATACACACACACACACACACTCACATCACAGTCAGACTCCACACACACACTCACACACACACACACACACTTCTGCATACTGAGCACACACGTATAATCAAGACACACAGCGTATTCATTTATTCACACACAAACACTTAGACCTGGATGACTGCTCTGAGCCTTTCTGCAGCTTTTCTGTAGAGAGAGAGAGAGAGAGAGAGAGAGAGAGAGAGAGAGAGAGAGAGAGAGAGAGAGAGAGAGAGAGAGAAAGAGCGAGAGAGAGAGAGAGGCCTCTAGTTTCACAACAGTATGATCTCAGAACTGTGGACGTTTTGGATTTGGAGGAACTTTTTAACTGATCTAAGGTTGTTTTCAGACGTAACCCTGTTTGGTACGGTTAACACGAACTTGAATGCATTTGCTAAGTACGTGCGGTTCGCCTGTGCTGGTGTGAAAGCTGTCAATCAAACCCTGGTGTGGACATAACAACCGCACAAAGACCTCTTGAAAAGGTGGGTCTCTGTCCACCGTTTTTTCGGAAGCATACCTGACGGATCTTCAGAAACAGTTTGGGTGTTTGAGCATGTCTTCCATGAAACCAGGGCAAATGCTCAGGTAAACTCAGAGGTCACATGACTCCCTCTTTATGTTTATCCTCCCAGGTTCAGGAGGATTAACATGTGGTGAGCAGAGCCTGCATCACTCCGTGTAGTCGTCTGTCCATTTAGAAACCGGAAAGAGTCTTTGGAGCAGCCACAGCCAATCAGGAGGAAGCTAGTCTTTGAAATTCTGACCAATCAGAGAGCATTTTCCTAGTGTTATAAATGTCCCCGTTTGAACACAGACCAAATTTGAGGTAATTAAGCAACAATGGAACAAATAAGTCCATGATTCAGACCGGAGCAAACGATCTAGAGATGTGAAAAGTTCCTGATCCTGTAACTGTACTGTATTTTCAGGTTTGGAAAATCTGCAACTCTCAATCGATTGTAGCCTCAAACTTTGACCCCAACGGTCGAATCAATGATGGTCTGGTTTTTCTTACTAGAGCATCAAAGAAGCAGGGAAAGTGTGACTGAGCTGGACTTAAACACGACTGTTAGAAGCACATTTTTTAAACGAATACTGAGACAAAGTGTGTGTGGGGGGGGGGTTTCACACCATCTGTCTCTCTTTTAGTGTTCCTCCGTCAGGACTCAGTGTTTGGGCGAGAGTTTAAAGTAATGAAGAGGCTCAGATCATTTTAACATTGTGAACAAATGAGGTGCGTTGGTAATCTGCTCCCTGATCAGTTTAACCACTGAATGATCCACGATGGTGGAGAGAGAGGCGATACAGGTGATACATCTTCAGTCGCTCCCTACACAACTTCATCAGTGCCACCGAGTTAAAGATGGTTTGTGTCTTTTACTAAATCCTCTTCTGGTGTTTATGTGAAGTATCAGAAAGCTTCAGGACTCTGTTTAACCAAGTGGTTCAAACCAGACTAGTCTAAAGGCCCTGACCAAGCAGACGGCAAAGAACTTGCACTTGAACACACCGCAAAGACTACAGCTGTGTGAAATAACTCTTCATGCCAGCAGGGGGCGGTAGTCTGCTGTTATGATACAAGAAGACCATTTTCACACCGCTGTCGGTCACCACTCGTATTATAGGTAGTCCACTAATGGAGAACAATGTCTGATAAAAAGTTGAAAATGGTGCTGGCGTTGTCAGCCTTTGGTCTTTTAGTGGAAAAAGAAAAGAAGAGGCGGAGGCGACCAATAAGGAGAAACCGCTCTAATGGGTGAAAGCATGGATACTACAGCGACATGCTCAAGGGGCTTTCCTGAACCTGAGTCGAGAGCTGGAGAGAAATGTAACCTCCCAACAGCCAATCAGAGAGATCCCTCTCACCGACGCCGATTCAACATGTCATATCGACAGAAAAAAGGCAGACGGGGAGCAACGGAGACAGACACACCTCAAAAACTAGGGCGATGACCGCTCACTGAGTTGGACCGACGGCCGACGGTCTCCTTGGTGTGCCTTAAAGACTTTGCTTCATGTTGACACAAAACTGAAACTACGGCTACTCCAGCTAGAAAAAGATTTCTGTTTTGCACAGAAATCTCACGTACGTTCTGAATATGAGGAATACAGCTTCATGCACGTTATAATAAATATGAAAAGGCTGCAGAAAAGGAAAGAAGTAACAGAAAATGTCGCTGTTATGTGCACATCATGAAGGGGATGAATCCACATCAGCTGAATTTTTCACCACCAGCGGTTGTTGCTTGCTCCAAATCAATGCCCATCGAGAACACAAAAAGCTGCAGTTTCACTGGACGCCACCAAACTGTTGTCAAAGTAAAGGCGAGCGAGAGAGAGGGAGAGAGAGAGAGAGAGAGAGAGAGAGAGAGAGAGAGAGAGGGGAGTGTTTGACTCTCTTCTGTCTGTCAGTTTGATTTTCAGAGTTTCACAGTTTTAACTATCCCTCCTCATCACACCGTCAAGAGGATCCGAGGGGGACAGGAGACCCCACCAACTTCTCCAGGCTCCGCCCATCAGGACTGTAAACACACTGATAAATAATACTGATTGTTGGAGGGACGAGTAAACAGTGAGTTCAGTAAGCGCTGTGTCGCCTCCTGCAGGCTCACACGGCGGCAGGACTTCAGGTGTTTGTGCACACCTCACCCCAATCAACACACACACACACACACACACACACACACACACACACACACACACACACACACACACACACACACACACACACACACACACACACACACACACACACACACACACACACACACACACACACACACACACACACACACACACACACACACACACACACACACACACACACACACACACACCCTGCTGTCAGGTTCAAACAGGAAACATTCTGTAGCATTGATGACCTCCACCCATCCCTGCACTTAACGTCGTCGCTGCTGACGACTTATTCCGATGTGTATCAGCGATCAAACAAACGGAGCAGCAGCAGACGCTTGCTGGCTGGCTGCTCGCCACACTATCTCAGTGTGTGTGTGTGTGTGTGTGTGTGTGTCAGTCGTCACAATGAGATTCTGTAAATCTGTGTGGACGTGTTTACCGCTTTGTCTTATCTCGCCGCCTGCTGACGATTTGCATTCGAGTCGGGGTGAGCTGTCAATCAAACCGCCGGCGCAGCTCAGAATGAAATGTTTCACATCTTCAGCTTTGCTTAGGCTTTTACCTAAACGCTGTCCTGGAGGAACACACTCACACACACATACAGACACACCAGTACACACACACATACTTACGCAGTCACGCATTTCATTTATCTGCACACACACACACACAAACACACACACACACACACACACACACTCATCCTTAACGTTACACCCAGCCCACAGCTCTGTCACTGCTCTTACAAATATGGCGAGGCGTTGAATGTCTGTTTTTCTTTGCCTGCTGTCTGTCACACTTAAGGGCCGGATCTTTGGGCCAACATAAACCAGTTTCTGGTCTGGGTCTAGCTGTAATTGTTGTCGTCTTTCAGAGCTTTAGTGAGTGATCTCCTCCTGGATGATTTCTCCATCCACAGCCGAGGACAAAGAATGGACATAAAGACCCTCGCAGTCCCACGCTGAGGGTCAAACGTTCTGTAAAAGTCAGAGGCAGTCTAAAATCCTCAGGTCAGCCTCACCCAGGCTGTCCCTGTTTCCTCCACCCTCCGCCCCCGTCCAGAGAGCGTGTCAGTAGTTCATGGCGGGGGGGGGGGTGTGGGGGTCTGCAGTGGTAGCTAGCTGTTGTTCTCGGCAGTCATGTATTTGAGCGCGGCGAAGCCGTAGCGCCGCGACATGTTCTGCTGAAACTCCTCCTTCAGGGTCTTCAGGCAGACCCGGTACTGTTTGTTGGAGCGGAACTTGGTGATGTCGAAGCTCGGGGCGTGAGGCATGTGGATCATGTAGGCGTTAGGGAGGACCACAAACTCGTACTCCTGCAGAGAGAGAGAGAGAGAGGAGTTTTATGGATTTTTAAGGTCGATCTAAAGTCAGGCTTGTAAATGTTTCAACAGTTGACTTGCTTCATACTTGTCCCTTTACAAATAAGCGATGTCCCACCCTAACTTTTCAGTCAACCTAACGACAGGCTGAGAGCTGGAGCTGAGGCGGGTTTTAAGCCTCCTGACAAACCGTTACACGGCGCCCACCTGTCAATCAGGTCAGCTACACGCCTTATTGTGAATAACTCTTATCCTTCATCAAATCAAAACTGATGAGTCATCAAAACATTCACCCCCTGTACAGTTTGTGTCGATCGAGACATGAGCTAATCACACCTATTTGTTTTTTGAACCATGCTGTAAATATGTTCATCTCTGCTGTAAAAACAGGCTTTTTAGAATGGGTGTGTATGTGACTTCCTGTGCTTCTGCAGCCAGCCTCTAGTGGACACTCGAGGAACTGCAGGATTTTATACTTCAGCATCGGCTTCAATTTTTAACACCGGAGGTCACCACTCGGTCACATCCTCTCTGCCTCTACACTGCCCCCTTCTGCTCATGTGCATACTGCATCTTGCACAGTTGATGCTCCAGGCGACATGAGGGAGTCGTCAAGTATCTATCTAGTATATGACCTCTGACCTTAGCCTCACCTGTGCGTCGAGCTCCATGATGTGAGCCACTTTGTTCCACCCGAAGCCGACAAAGCGGCGGTCATACTCGGGGCTGTCCCTCCTCACCATCACGTAAGGCTCAAAGTCAGCCTCCCACTGCACCCTGTACGGCGTGGTGGCTGTCCGCCATTTGGCAAAGTTAGTGGGTGCGTGGCCTTTAGTCCACACGTGGTACCTGCAGAGAGAGGGAAAATAAAATGTTTTATTAAGGTGCTGTTGGAGAGTGAAGTCGGCGCGGACGTGGAGAGAAAGTGTGATGTATAGTCTGTTGAATATTTGGTGACACTCTGATTTTAAACCTCCGTCTGTATCACAGAAGGTCTCTTTAAAGTCTGGACCTTCTTTATAAAATGTTGTTTACCTCTCCCCGAGTCCAAATCAGTCCTGATGGGAAAAAAAAGTTGTGTTGTCTCTTTTTTGTGGCGGTGCCATCATAACACTTTTCTCCACCAACCGTCGAGATAAAAGAGGTTTTTACTGACTGCAAATTGAAGGAGGGCGAAGAGAGCGAGTGTGACTGAAGACAGCGTGACCACACACACTCACAAACACTACACACACCACACACACACACACACACACACACACACACACAGAGAGAGAGCAGAAAATAAAAACCTTTACTCGAGCCGTACAGAACATAACACCTCCTCCTCTGTGTGTGGGGGCTGAGAGGGACGGTGTGTCCACCTTTTTGATTTTGTTGATTTTCCATTTTTTATTCATCTCACTTATTTATTGTCAAGTCACTAAAAAAATCTGCAGTATTTCACTCGCTTCTGATTACAAGGCAGAGAGAGAGAGAGAGAGAGAGAGAGAGAGAGAGAGAGCATTCATTGCATGAATTACAATCTAAATTTCAAATAAACGCAGCAGCTGGATTATTAGATCGTCTGTAAATATGTAATCAAGTCAAGCACAAAAATGTTTCCCACAGAATGATGCGACACCTGGGCGGTGGAGTTCACGGCTGAGGGTGGACCTGTTCTCTCTCTCTCTCTCTCTCTCTCTCTCTGAAGCGGATGTGATTCTGCTGTGTCTCTGCAGGAGTTGAGAGAGCTTTTTTTTCTTTTCAAAAAGGAGTTCTGTTACGTTGCGCGGAATCGCAGCGGGCTCACAGTTTAAAATTCTGTGCGCTCAGTGACGTCCTTGGCGAACTGTACTCTCTCCCTGACTCTCTCTCTTGTGTGTGCGGCATTTTTATTAGTATGAGTAAATAAAAAAATACATTAAAACGGGTCAGAAATACAATCTGGTGGTCATAAATACACCTGGGTGACCCACGCAGGTATTGTCTCCACTGTCTGAAGTTTCCCTTTCACTCTTTCATATGTTTATTGTTCGAGCTGTGCTTTTAGAGTTAGAGGGTTTCATTGGACAGCACAGTTAGGGAGATGTAAATAATGTTTGCCCTGTTTTAATTAAATTAAATGAAATTCAAAGAGCTTTATTTATCTGTTGGGAACTCCAGGGCATCACTGCAAACATGAAAGAAAGCTGGACAAACTAAAGAGAAGAGTTGCAGGCATACCACTGCAGCTTTAAAATCTGTTTAAAACATCATCACTGAAAGATGTTAAAGCAACGCCATCACATACTTAAATATTACACTTCCTCCAACACGACCATCACATTATCGGAGTTTTTCATGATTCAGTTGTCTGCAGCATTCAAACTCTTTATTTGTACATCAATATGAATATCTATTATTTTAATTGCTTATTATCTTTCCTCGGTTTTGTAATGTTTATGAGTCGCCCGCTCAGCACAAGCTGGAGTGATGCTCCCTCTCTGAGCTCCGGAGGATCGGGTAAAGATCTGAGTTAATGAATGAATCGATACGACTGACTCGCACAAAAGACAGAAGACGTAGAGGAGCTGCTGTAGTGAACATTGCTGTCAATAGAAACAGAGCTGCTGTAGTGAACATTACTGTCTATAGAAACAGAGTTGCTGTAGTGAACATTACTGTCTATAGAAACAGAATTGCTGTAGTGAACATTGCTGTCTATAGAAACAGAGCTGCTGTAGTGAACATTGCTGTCTATAGAAACACAGAGCTGCTGTAGTGAACATTGCTGTGTATAGAAACAGAGCTGCTGTAGTGAACATTGCTGTCTATAGAAACAGAATTGCTGTAGTGAACATTGCTGTCTATAGAAACAGAGCTGCTGTAGTGAACATTGCTGTCTATAGAAACAGAATTGCTGTAGTGAACATTGCTGTCTATAGAAACAGAATTGCTGTAGTGAACATTGCTGTCTATAGAAACAGAGCTGCTGTAGTGAACGTCTATAGAAACAGAGCTGCTGTAGTGAACATTGCTGTCTATAGAAACAGAGCTGCTGTAGTGAACGTCTATAGAAACAGAGCTGCTGTAGTGAACATTGCTGTCTATAGAAACAGAGCTGCTGTAGTGAACGTCTATAGAAACAGAGGAGTGGTTTACCTGAAGGTGAAGAGCGTCCCCATGTCCAGCTGAGAGAGCAGCTCGGCTTTAGACTTTGGGTAAGAGAGACGATATCTCAGCGTCTCAAAGGCTGGAACAACCAGAGCTTTTTTATTGTTGGACATGTCCAGCTGCACCACTGACTTCCTACAGAGACACAAACCACACACACAGAGGTTATTTTACACCGAGTACCATCTCAAAATGTTATCAAAAGCTATCAATACTCTCCATGAAATCTAAAAAATCTGACTGGTCTCCGTGGTCTCACCTGAGGTACTCATAGAGGCCGTACATGGGCAGGAAGTCGATGTCTGACAGGAACATGTAGGGCGTGTTGACCTGCCGCATGGCCACGTTTCTCAGCAGGTTGACGGGGTAGAACTGACCCTCTTTGTAGACGATGTGATAACCCACGTTCCCGCGGCTCATCAGCACCTCGGAGCCCTGAGCATAACGCAGAAACTGCTGAGCCTCGGCGTCGGAGAGGTACAGGGCCAGACTGATGGGCCCCTCCCAGTGTTTACAGATGGCCTCCAACATCTGGAGCCTGCACAGGGGGGGGGGGGGGGAGGGGGTAACATCACAATCATGCTTAATTGTTCCACACAACAGATAATATAGAAACAAAAAGACAGATGCTCACACGATGAGAAGAAGATCCTTATTCAATGAAAACCACTTAATGATGTGAGCACAAGAAACACACTTCTAACTTGTGCAAACAGGAAACTAATGTGTTCATAGATACCTAAATATGAATGTAAGGTTATAACCCGTTTGCACAAGATATCAACTTTTTACAAAATTGCTTCCTTGTGCAAACTGCTTTCTAATCTGTGAGAACCACATATTAAGTTGTGCAAACAATAACACACATCAGAATTAAGGCTCAAGTGAGTATGTTGTACCCTGACCTTGTACGGTCTTCTTGTTTCAAAAGAACATTTATTTTTTCCAGAACTTGCTGTTTGCATCCATGGATGCAAAATACTTGAGCCCAAGAGGCAATAATAGGCAGAAATGAGTTCTAAAACCAGGAAGTAAGTTAGCATTTTAGCACCATGTGGTTTTGAATGGGTTGGTGGTTAGGTGCCTGAAATAAGGTCTGTGGTTAACAGAACCATAAGAGATGTTTGCATTTTGTTGTACAACATCTGTTCAAGGTGACACAACTATGTACCATCGTCATAGCAACGACTCCAGAGCATCTCCAAACTCATGGATGAAGCGTGGAGCTGCTGACAGCAAGTGGCGATTCTAGAGTCTGTTGGGGCCTGAGGCAAAAAAAATCATCCCTCCAACCATGTTTTCAGCCGCTGCAGTTGCCTGCCTTGCCTGTTGACAAGAAGTGCCTCTGCTGAAAGCCCCCGACTGATTTAACCCCCGGTTATATTAACAGGTCATATTAATATATGATTAACAGTCATATTTAAGAGCTTTTATTTTGAAGGCACATCTCTTTGAGCGTCACATCTCTTTCAAATACTGCGGCGCAGTTACTGCCAACTCTCAGCAGACGCTCCTTTTTCCCCTCTAACTGCGTGCGGCTGTTAGCGACGTTTTTTTTATGAATTAAACATTTTTTTGCAATAAGGATTATTTGCATAAAAAGAAGGGGCAGTTTCTTCCCAAAGACTGCGCAATTGCTCATATAAATAAACACAACGAGAACTGGCGCACTGAGTTGCTGTTTGCTCTGCAGCGCAATCCTGGGTGCATTTAACCCTTTGTGTGTTTCGTGTCTTTTTGACTCATTTGCACAGGTTTAGTTATTGTGAAAGCGACACAATCCTTTAGTGAATCCTGCCTTCAAAAGATGAACAAAGAAATAGAGCCTAAACAAACAGCTGATCACAAATATTTTAATAAAAACAAACTTCTGATGAACACTTTGTTAATGTGAAGCTGCAAGATGACATCAAACCTCTTATAAAAGTCAGATCTGGAAACAGACAGAGCAGAATGTTGCTCTTAGATTAAATGACTCACTCTATCTTGAAATATTATGCAAGTCTGATACAATGCTCTGATATTTGTTATATAAAGAGTCCGCCTGACTGAACAGGATGCTTCACAGCAGCGATACTCAAAGTTTTCAAACTTCATATTTCTTGTTTGCTCAAATATTTTCTGTCATTTAGTCCTTTTTTTCTCCTGTTCCATAATACATCTCGCCCTCAGCAGCTCTACAGCTCATTGCGTATTCCATGTGAAGGTGCAGTTGTGTTGTTTTTGCGGATGTCTGACATTGTTTTTCATCTGCAATATGCCCGTGTTCCCCCCCGCAGAGCCACCATGGGCCTCATTAAAACAAGACACAGTCTGAAGCCAGCCTGCAGCCCCTAGAGGCAGCAGCGTTTATTACGCACAATACATAATAATATAGTGCTGAGCAGAAGACACGACATACTGACAATATTAAAACAAAGCGTTGTTTGTCCTGAGGGTGACTAAACATACCGCTGGGTCACTTAAACAAAAGGTTTATTACCCCGAGAATTCAAACGTGCTCAGCAGACTCAAACACGATCTATTAGGAGACGTAAATAGTCTCGCTGTGAGGACGTTTGAACTAAAGGATGTGCCAAATTAAATTATTCAAACATACTGGAGCCATTTCTCTAAAGGTAGCAGCATCCTCCACATGCCTCTAACGTCCACGCTGAATCCTGTGGAAGACGGGTTCTTAGTTTAAACTGTAGTTAAAGACGCAGCGTCTCCATTATTAACAGCTAATGTCTCAGTGACAGTCCAGTCTTATTCCACCTCTGTGGGCCTCTTTCATTTTGCTCATTATATTAAATAATGACAGAGTCTAATGATCCCCAAGAGCAACGACACAGAAGAAAGAAAACAAACAGTGACGGTTTAAAGAACAACAAATAAATGACTCGAAGAGAAGTCCTTCATAAGGGAACTATCAGCTTGTTTTTGTTTTCCTGCTAAAGCAGAAAAGTTCCTTTGTGTTACAGACTGTTCATCTTTCTTCACTTCAATCACTGCTGACACTCAACGTGTAACCTGCTAGTTTGAGGCCTCGTCCACAGGTCTCTGTAAACTCTCCTTTCGTAAAAGTCCTTCAAAGGTGAAGATGTTCAGAAACTGTTTAAGGTGTTTCTGTGTAGACGGGGAAAACAGAGTTTTGTTCTTGTGACGTCACGCTGTGCGCCGGTTTCTCCTCCGTGTGACGTCATCGTGCGACGTCGTCACTTTAGTTGTCATGAGATTAGTGCGATGGCCGACGTAACCAAAATAGCGCTGGTGCTAACGTCGCTAACTGGACTTTTTACATGCTGACACATACACACACACACACACAGTTACTCTCCCACTATGTTGACGAGCAGAGACGTCTGATTGGACGACGGAGGTCACTGCTGCTTCATGCAACACAAACCCCGTTTTGGGACGGGACCCGGTCAAACTTCAGGTTGATGGGATTGCGAGAAAATGTACGCATGTCAAGGACGTTGACCTGGCGTGCTCATGACACATGTAACAGTGCGTTTTGTCGTTCCCATGTAGACGAAGATGTTTTGTAGAACTGAGTGCGTGCAAAACGAGCAGCAGGTCGATCGCGGACACACCAGCTTCGAGGCCGGCCGACGCCTCGATGTAGAAATCATTTTGAACCCGTCGCTTCCAGAATAACTTCTCCTCTACCTTTCTACAAAAACTCGCCATGCACCAGAAGGAATCTCTTTGTTTCTGCAGGTGTGGAAGGTTACCTGTCCATGGAGAGCTGTGCGACCAGCGTGACGTCGGTGTTGTCGGAGGACGGTTCGTACTCGTAGTGCAGGAAGTAGAGGTGCGTTCTGTGGACGGTGAATCGCTCACGACGGAACTCGTAACACGGATCGTCTTCATCCAGCTCGGACAGAGTTTTCTGGAGCTGCAGGGCGAGAGGAGACAGACGGACTTAAAGCGGGTTGAATCAGATATGACAACACATGTAAGGGGTCACTCAGGGTTCAGGTCTGACAATGTGGACTTCCTGTCTCGTGTCTGTACAGTGATGTGCTGACAGAGCGATGACGGTTTGTTCATGAAGTGGAATCTGAACACAGGAACTTGTTTGTGTATTAGGAGGCAGCACAGAGACCGAGCTGACGGCCTCTTTGTGAGCATGTTTAAGTGTGTATTTCTCTACATGTGTGTGTGGCTTCCAACGGTCTGATTAGCCGTTCTGCAGAGCGCGAGCAGGCTGCAGGGGCGCGGCGGCCCTGAAGGAGTCCGGTGTGCAGCGTGCTGCAGGATCCGGTCCCTCCGTGGCTTCATTAGTCTAATCATCACTTTAATGGGATTTAAATCGCTGTTCAAACTCTGAAAAATTGAGTGAGCAAACTATTTCCTGAGTTAAGGACACATTAGGATTGAGTGTTGGCAGAAAAAAAAGCGCTCTGGCACACATTGATGGAAAATTATAATGAGATTAACTGACCACAGAGCTGACACTTAAATTCTTCTACAGCACCACAGAGGAAGGAAGGAGCCGTTAAAAAAGTCCTGACCAAGCTGACCTTCAGCTGGTTACAAACTGAAGCTTCCACTGCAGGACTTAAACGACTCAGACAGCTTTCTTTAACCCCGAGAAAACCCCAAAGAAACGCTTTATTCTGTGTTTACAGAGTGGCTGTCTGCCCTCAGAGGAGGCAGGAGGACCGTCTTCTCTCTCGCTTGTTTGTGCAGAAATCAGACAAAACGAGAAATGAAGATGGCAACACCTGTTTTTAGATTTACCATCAGAGAGAAACAGGCCGTCTGCGGATCCAAACACAGACATCACGAGATTACAGCAGTAAAAACATGACTTTGTTGTTTCCTCACTGCCATAAAAATATTTTTTTTCCTGCTGCTTTAAAGATGAAACATGTTGAATTTTACACTCGAATATCTTAATAATAAGAAATGGACTAAACCTGTTATATATATTTTTGTTGCGTACTTACATAACCTCAAAATTCCCAACTGTTTTCAAAGCCATCTAGTGTCCATGCTCACGCAGGTTGCCATGTGGTGGACACTGAAGCTTCAGTGTTTATCCAGCTCTGCATGGGTCTGTAAACCTTTCTGTGTTCTAACCTCTCTCCATTTTTCAAAAAGCATCTCCAATATTGATCCTAGTTTGAGCACGTTTCTGCTCGTGGAGCTTATTAGAAACATGCAGAGGCTTTTTAGGTCGGGTACAATCACTTCTATCTGAACCACTTCTCTTGCCCGCTTCCATCACTGCAACACCTGTTGACCTGATAACTGCTCTCATATCTGGCAAACCGAGGGGAGTCCAAAACGGCCGTGTGGGGGTGCCTTAAAACCGTCTACCTTCTCTGGTCCAAACAAATCCAGAGCATTCAGGAGCAGAATCTAAAGTTAGAAGGAGGACATACTGACTGCTGCATTGTTGTCAGAGAAGCCAGCACTTCAACATAGCATGTTTCCTTAATGTCTGATCATATAGTGAGGTCACTTTATCATTTCACTCTCTACACATCTCACTGATTGGACCTTTAAGTTGAAAAGTTCGGATGACAGCAAAGTGCTTATAAAGTTTTATGAATATAATCTGAAGTTAATCTGAGGGTCACGGGGACAAAAATAGGAACAGAAAAATATCTTTAAAAAGATCATTAGAGTGAAATTGTCTCACAAATAATGATGAAAACGTGTGCAAGCATCATGTCAGCCACAGGAAAAGTAATTAAAGACATTTATAGTGAAAGATTCCAGACGCACTGTTGGGACGAGAAAACGTCCTGAAGCAGCGACTTTTTGTCTTTTTGAGTTTTAGAAGCTGAAAAGATTGAAAACATATTTTATTCATATTTTATTAGTTTAGCTTCCAGCTGCCTGAATTACCGACTGAGTCTTTTTTTTTTTAATGCAACAAGAACAAAGCATACATCGGGGCGAGGCAGCTCAGTCTGGAGGGACTTGGGCTCGGAACAGGAGGGACGCCGCTTCAAGTCTCGGTGCGGACCAAGTCTGGAAATGTGTCTGGTAGCTGGACAGACTGCAGAGGTGACCAAACCCCCAAAAGCTCAGGCGCGCTGTCATGTGCAGGTTTAATCCTCAGGGACAAACTTATTTATCTAAAGAAGTTAAAGGCAGGGCTGGTAATTTTCAAAAACTAGCATGATTCTGAAAGTGGAATTCCCTCGGTGCCCCGTCTTTAAGCTGCAGAGAATGGACGCTTCCAAATAACCCGCCCACAGGAAGGTGTATGGAAGCCCACTGAACACGATCCTATCACCATCGTCTTCAACTTAATCTCTGAACAGAACCAGATTCACAGGGTCACTCACGTTCTCGCTGTTGTGGTCGGCCTCGCTCGGGCATCCAAACAGCTCTCGTCTCAGCAGGTTCCCGTCGTACTCCAGAAACGTCAGATAGAGATTCCGGAAGAACTCCACGTGTTTGTTCTTCACCCGCAGCTTCTTGGGAGAGTTCCAGTGAATCACCTGACAAACAGTTCACACTGTTACGATCACGCTCAGATATGTAAGATGTTGGGCAGGTCAGAAAACTGATTCAAAGTCACCTCTCCTGCATCGTTCATCCGAAGCACTAACATCTTTAACTGAAATTATTAGAAAGGCATCCTAATTAAAATAATTATAATAATTAAAATAATTATAATAATTATCAATGACAGAGACGAAGCCGTTAAAAACACCTGCAGGCATGTATATAAATTAAAATCTGTACACAGATGGCTGCCTGACACTGGAGAATATCACCGCCACTTCCTGGTTAGATAAAGTCTAAAATTAAATCAAATGTTGCCTGAAAAATATCATCAAACATCGATAAACGTGCACGCACGTCCGCACATCTTGTAAGTGTTCACGCTGTCCCTTTACGGGGAGCTACCGGGATCGGACAGCTTCGAGCATCTGCAGAAATCTGGAGGAGGAACGCTGATCTTTCAAGGTTAACAAAACCTCGCTGGATGCTGTTTCAAACTAAATGTGTGTCACTGCGTGTGCCTGTGTGTGTGTGTGTGTGTGTGTGTGTGTGTGTGTGTGTGTGTGTGTGTGTGTGTGTGTGTGTGTGTGTGCGCGCGCTTGTTTTGGGACAGGTGATTAATGCGGGTCTGGCCTGCAGCGTGTGTGAAGTGTCAGATTGTGAGCCGCAGCGGGTGCAGCAGGTCTCACCTTCAGGTCCGACACGTCTTTGTAGCACTTCTCGGAGCGCGTGTGGTCCGACAGCTGGACGTTCCAGAAACACGGCAGCTGGTGGACCAGGAACGGGTTCTGTTTGATCACGGCGTTGAAGATGTCCTGCAGACACACACACACACACACACACACACACACTGAGCCGTATGCTTTGCCTTATGTTTCATCACCTGCAGACCTGAACCTCGGTCTGATGTGACTCCTGTTTAATCAGAGGATCAAACACACCTGGAATAAATCTTTTCTTTTCGTCTCTGGAAGCGACGGCTAAAGGAGCTGACACCGAGCAGAACTTCTGCTGGGTCTCTTTATCATAACAGATTGTACCTGGACTGTATTTGTGTTTTAGAAATCCGTCATATAACCAACGACATGAACAACATTCCTTCGGTTAAGAGAACGGGATGATGGTCTTCCTCACAGGAGACATTAAACCTCTGTGTGAATGTTTTTAATGCTACCTGAAAGATGGCCGACAGTCCGTGTGAGGCGCTCAGACGGCAGCAGCAGCAGCAGCTCCTCATTTTACAAAGTGCACACCTAACAGGACTCCACTTAATGAAGGTTTAATTAAAATCTCATGAACGAGCTCTGAGCTGGGAGATAACGGAGAGACCCTTCACCCCCGCCTGCCCTCTCTGTGGTAGATAAAAACAACACCCAGTACGCTTTCAAGGAAAAACATGTTTATAACCTTCAGGAGGCAGATACACTCGAGGAGGAGGATAAAATAATAAAATAAAACATATGCTGTAAGAAAGATGAACAGATCAGTGTGGACCGCTTTATTTTAACCGTTTAATGTTCGCTTTAGGGCTGACAAACCAAACAGCTGATGAAAAGTGCCTTTTTTTACATTCCTAAAGGTCATATATTATTTATAATCCACTCCACCATGTCTCTATAACTCTAATATATGTCTCTAGTCTGTCTACAAACCCCCCAATGATGAGAAAAGTTCATCCTCTCTGTCTTTTGCCTGCTCCACTTTTCAGAAAATGTGTGCTCAAACAGGCCGTTTGGAGATTTTCCCTTCATGACATCACAAAGGGCAGTAACCCCTCCCCCAGGTGGGTGACTCTCCCACAGCTAGGTGTTTGTTCTGCCCTGTGAGTCTGCCTTCTCACTGTAAACAATAGGACATGGAGCGAGAAAGCCCGAGTCACCCAAGCATCTTCCAGAGAGGGGGCGTGGTCAGACACAGCTCATTTACATTTTCTTTTCGACTTCTCGGCGAGTTATGTCGCCATTTTCTGTTTCCGCCCACATTCTCTGCTTGTTTGTTTGTGTTCGGGAAACCATGGCGACTGAGAAAGTGAGGGTATTATGTTGGATTTCAAGATGATAAAAGGTGAACAGCATTTAAATATACTACAGTTATTAAGATTAAGATCTAATGATCATTAAGATTTTTGCAATTGGCGGCGATACCGGATAAGTGCAGGAAATAAGATGCTACCCAGTGGACCAATCACACGGCCTGGCGTCTGTGTCGATAACTTTTTTGAGGGGGTGCACGTCAGCCTCTGCGTAGGGACAGGGCTACGTGAACCTACGGCCAAGATTAGACGCAGAAGTATCAGACCGGCTTTAAATATAGGGATGCTCGTGGAAGTGTGTGTGTGTGTGTGTGTGTGTGTGTGTGTGTGTGTGTGTGTGTGTGTGTGTGTGTGTGTGTGTGTGTGTGTGTGTGTGTGTGTGTGTGTGTGTGTGTGTGTGTGTTACCTGGTCTGCCAGCGACGTGGACAGCATACTCATTAGTTCCCTCTCTGCAGTCAGCCTCCACATCTGCTCCCATCTCAGCTTCCTGAGACGATCCAGGAGAAGAAGAATCACTCCTGGAAAGCACACACACATAAAAACGCACGCACGCACGCACGCACGCACGCACGCACGCACGCACGCACGCACGCACGCACGCACGCACGCACGCACACACGCACACACGCACACACGCACACACACACACACGGTAGCTTTAGAAACAGAGAGATTGGTATCCGGCGGCCTGTTTAAGGTGATAAAGTCCCTTCATGAGACTCAGCACCTCGGCCGTGTGTTTCCTCTGATAAGCTGAACACTTTAAAGACAGAGCTGCAGGACAAAGAAAACACGCTACAGTCTCCTTATAGAAACATGAACCTTTCTTTACCAACAACTTAAAAACTTCTCCTCGTTCCTTCGGCTAATAAAAGACATCCTCCTCCTCCTCCTCCTGCTGTTGCTGCTGTTGCTGAACAAATAAAATCGTCTTCAGAGGGAGAAACAAGCCGAATGTTGTTTTTTTGTGATTTTTTTTCTTTTTTCTTTCAGATTGGAACAAACAAAGCGTCTTTCACGCCCCGCTGTGCTCCATCTGTTGCCACGGACACCGCCTCAAAGCTGCAGCTGAACCGAAGCTTTCTGTCAAACTGTTGTTGTGCGTGAAGAAAACAACACAAAGATTCAGTCGCGGTGAAAATCGACAGACGGACAGACGGACGAGCTCAGGTGAGTTTTACTGCAGCAGCGGGTCGGGGGTGATTTATCCTCTCCCTCCAAACAACAGAGAGAGAAAAAGTGTGCAGGAGAAAAAAAGAGCCGCAGGATTGGATGCAGGTAAAACACACACACACACTCAGGGGGGAAAAAATAACAAGGTGTAAAATGACTCCAATCAATTCTTCTATCAGCTGCTCGCTGAAATTACCCCGCACACCTCTCAGAAAGTGTTTCTCCGTAAAACTTCTAACAAGCCTGAAAAATGCATCAAAGCATTCGACGATGCATTAAACTGCCTCTTTAGGTTTTTTTTTCTGAAGCTTTGAAGAGACTGCGGAGAATAAAAGACGCAAAAATCAAAATACTTGGACAGCCTTCAGATGTCTCCCGCTACACACGGCACGTTAAGGTTCCCTCTGATGGTGGAAATAACTCCAGAGTGTAATCAGAGACGGAGAGAGAGAGAGCGCGCTCAATCAAAGCTATAAATAAAATGTTTCAATTAAAGACTAACAGACTTTCAATATACACGAGTCATGCTGTGATCAGAAGGCTGCCGTAAAGATAAATAAATGAGTTTGAGGACACGAATCAGAGAGAAACCTGAGAGACAGCTGCCTCTGATTCAACAAGCAATGTGGTCGTTTATTTCATCGAGATCGTCTTCAATGTGTCTGAAGACGACGATAAACACGTTCTTATTTTGGGTATTTAGTGCATACTGTCGGCGTACTCTAACATGCAGCTCGGGGAAGTGACACAATCACATCCTGATTTTGCTCTTTAGACGTCACAGAGGGAAATGTGACTCTTCATTCTTCACAAGATGAATCGGAGCTTTTGTCCACAGCATGTGATGTATCCATCACGCACAGCGAGTGTTTGAGTCGTTTATTTATCATTTCTGAATTTTAAATGATGCCTTTAAACGTGTTTAGTGAGGCTCGTCTTTATTTGCTCCACAGAAAGAAGCAGGATAACTTATTTTAATCTGCACATGAAGTCAAAGTCTATATGGTGGTGCTGTTGCCTCACAGCGAGGAGGTTACTGGTTTGAATCCCCGTCTTCTGCATGCGTGGGTTCTCTCCGGGTACTCCGGCTTCCTCCCACAGTCCAAACACATGCTCGTTATGTTAACTGCTGACCCTAAATTGTGAGTGTGGCTGGTTGTCTGTCTCTACATGTCAGCCCTGCTGCTTGAGAGCTGGAGCTGAGGCGGGTTTTAAGCCTCTGATAAACCGTTACACCGCGCCCACCTGTCAATCAGGTCAGCTGCACGCCTTATTGTGAATAACTCTTATCCTTCATCAAATCAAAACTGATGAGTCATCAAAACATTCACCCCCCGTACAGTGTGTGTCGATCGAGACATGAGCTAATCACACCAATGTTTCCCCTACCATTATATTCTAAAAACAGTATTTTTTTTGACTGGGTGTGTATGTGACTTCCTGTGCTTCTGCAGCCAGCCTCCAGTGGACACTCGAGGAACTGCAGGATTTTGCACTTCAGCAATGGCTTCATTTTTCAACACTGGAGGTTGCTGCTTGATGCTATACCACGCTGATATCCCTCACCTGTGTTGAAGCCCCTCCCCAGGGCGGGCCAGGGGCGATGGTTCTTCCACAGGTTCCCCAGGTACCAGTCGCTCTGGTTCTCCACCAGACCCAGAACCTGCTGACCTGAAACACAGCAGACACAAAACAATTCCTGAAATGTCATATTCTCTGAGCATGTTTTTTCTGCAGCTGTGACACATTTATATCTGTGTGATGTGACAGACATCCTGCGCGTCAAGTTTCTTCAACACCGTCCACCTGCAGGTCACCTCAGACTGCAGACCTCACAGAAGAATCTTTTACGGGAGGGTTACGGCTTTTTCTCAGGTGTTTGATATGACTGCTGTTGCACAGGTTAAAAGAAAGCGGTTAAAACATCCTGACGTTTTAAGATTTGCTGAAATAATCGATAACATCAGGTCATTTAATGTGAAGTTAGGAATAAAGGTCCGGCTCTTTGTGCCGCTGAGGAGACTAAAAGTCATTATTTGAGAATGGATGGTGATTACATTTTAGGTGTGCAGCTTTAAAACCATCGATCAAACCCAGCAGGGTCCACCATGATTTGTGGCTGTGTGTTTTATCTGAAGATGAGGAGATAATTGAGTGATGATCTTCAGCTGCTGTTCTGTCTGCAGAAAGAAAACGGTGGTCGGAGGGGGATAAGTCTCCGACGCTTCAGGGTCAACAAAACCAGCAGAAACAAAATCCTCTCAGAAAGGCCGCTTTCTGAGGAAACTGCAAAACTTTAGGAAAAGCGCAAATCAAATTCAGTCCTCGGATACACGAGACAAAGAGGTACACAGGAGAGGAGAGGAGAGGAGAGGAGGAGGGATGAACGTTGGCTTCAGAGGGAGAGATTATGGAAGGCGAGCTGTGAGGAGATAAAGGTCGAGCAGATAGGCGTTGGGAGGAGATAGGAGCGTGCGGAGAGGGAGCAGAGAGGGAGGAGCGGTGGCAGCTTTAATGAAGGCTGTAAGGAAGATTAATGACAGCTTATTGGAGCCAGGCGGCGGAGAGCAGGAGGACACTTTGGAGGAGCTAAAAACAAAGAACGAACACATCTGAGCGCCGACGTTAAAACCAAGCGCACGTCGTTTCACCGACAGCTCAGTTCATCTAAAAGTTACTTCATCAGCTGTTCAAGGAGCCAAGATCGTACAGAAAATATCCCTCTGTGTGTTCTCCTGCACACTTTAATAAGGTTAAACGTTTGATTGCAGTGAAGCAATAACCCTGTGATTAATTACAGCTAATGACTTTTTAATCACGTTGGATGTTCACGAATAACACGCGCGGGGAGAATCACGGGATCATCTTTGATCTCTTATCTGCTAAAAATGTGAGCATCTGACTGTCAGTCTGACATCAGAGAACCATGTGCTCACTAAACGAGTCAACTGACATTTTAATCAACAATATAAAATAGAGAAGAGTTCGATTTTAAAGAAAGAATGTGTGACATGTTCCACATAACAATATCATAAATCAAGTTGTTATGATTTACTGTCGTGATTGCTTTATGAGCCAGCCTGAGTGTCGACAACAACTTCCACATGAACAAGTTGTTCTATAATTATTGTGAAAGCCTACTGATGCTCTGTGTGGTGTGCGTTTGTGTGTGTGTTGTGTGGTGTGTGTGGTGCATTAGGAGGATGAAACTGTGGACTGAAGACTGTATGTTGCTCGGCTGCTGACCTCGGCATCATCTGTTTCTGACTCAGCAGGAAAAAAAAACTCCCCCTGATCTCCTGCTCCCTCCACAGCTAATTTAAGAATCGCTCACTCCCCCCCCCCCACCACCTCAGCTGCTGCTGCTGCTGCTGCATGCTGGGAAAAAAAAGAGCGTGCATGGCCTCAGGTTTGCTGCGTTCATAGTATTTAGTCGGCCTCTGGAAAGCGGCCTGTCATCAGTAAACAGCAGGTTCTGCTTTAATCCTGCAGGAGCTCACAGGCCGGAGAGGCAGAAGGTAAATTACAGGATCAATAAGAACTAAACTTTGTGATGGCGATGAATCTGCGGCAGATTAAAACGGCTAATTCAGAGGCTGTGTCTAAAGAATGGTCCTGTTGTGATGGGATGTTATCTGTAGGATATTATTCTAAACCTCCTCCTTCTTCTTTTCCTCCTCCGAGTTGAAACCGAGAGAATCTGTATCGATTTGATTTCTTTTCTTCCTGTCATGGCTCCCTGATCCAGAAACTCACTATTGGACTGTTTTTGTGAAGCTGATGGTTGAAGCTTCACGCTCTGTTGTTCATCACTTTTTCTCACTGTGGATGTTTGGATTAGGAAAACATTTCTGGAAGCAATGGCGGCTTGGCGAGCTAAATGTGTGTTTTTATAATTGAAGCGAAGTTTCTCTGATTATTCAGAAACTGGCATCAATCACGATTGGAACTGTGCAAGAGTTTCTTTTTGTCTGAACTTGTGTAAAGTTTAAAATTATGTGCAACTTCATGACAAAAGTTGCAATACATGTACCACCTGTTTAATACAAAACTCCAAACAGAGGACATCTCACACATTCTCCTCCTCTTCTTCTAAATCCACTCTGATCCTGTATTTGATCATGTCTATAAACCCCTCTATTTCAGCCCCGCTCAGAACAGGCTGTTTCTGTGTCTGTACCTTTAAATGTAAATGAGCTGTGTCTGACCACGCCCCCTGTTTTTACAGCAGTGTATGTGACTTCCTGTGCGTCTGCAGCCAGCCTCTAGTGGACACTCGAGGAACTGCAGAACATTACACTTCAGCATTGGCTTCATTTTTGCAACACCAGAGGTTGCAGCCCCAAGTGCTACAATTTGTACATTTTCGCTGTAATAAATCAACATTTTTGGATTTATTGTTCAAAACATTTCCGCCAATCCGAAAATAAGACGTGACCATTTAGGTATTTTATTTTTACAATATGTGAACTGGCTTTAAATTGCAGAACCATAGAAACACATATTCTGCAGTGGCCTCTTAATGTTTAACTGTATTTGTTTCCTGACTTTCACGCTACACAGAACTAAAAACAGACGGGCAGAATAGGAAGTGTTTTGAGACAGGATTCAGAGTGTGGAGAGAACCCGTCTTGCCCTCCCCCCCTCCTCCTGCATCCTCGAACGTGGAGTGATCAGCTAAAAAGGATTTCTGTCGCAGGAAGTTTTGAAATCCGTAAACGGGCAGAAATGACGTCTCAAGCTTTTAGAAAGACTGTAATAAACTAAAGTGTTTGTAATTCAAGGACAGGTGGTCTGCAGGGTCCTCTGCCAAGACATCGTCTGCCATCCGCTCGCAGGACTACAGGAGTGGGGGGGCATGATGTCATAATGTAGAGCAGGGTGTTGTCATGGTGACCCACTTCTCTCATTAGAGCTGATGCTTTGTGCATACTAACGAGGGGAGCAGGGCGGTCGGAGCTAATCCTCCAAGAAGAGAAGTCAGAACCAACAGATCCGCACGATTCAGGAAGTAAACTCGAACAAAATAAACAAGAATGTTTCAAATATCCACCGAGCTGACGGATTAACTCCCACAGTGAAGCAGCTGAGGAGGACATTTTCATAATTCAACACTTCTCGGGCTCTCGAGGCCCGGCTGATTCCCCGCAGACGGTCTACAGAGCTAACCTTCATGTGCAGAGCTTTACATCATCAATCACCTGCACAGTCACCGCGCCCCCGCCCCCCCCCCCCTTCTTCTTCTTCTTCTTCTACAGGCTTTACTGCTCGACACCTAAAAAGACGGCGCTGACTGAATGTGTAAATATGTTGTTTCTGCGTCGGTTTATGGAGACAGTGGGTTCATGAAAATGAAATGAGTTACATCAGAGCTGCGGCGGCTGTGACTTAACGTAGCGTCCTCTTTCTCGTGTCCACGGCGTGTAGAGGCTGTGCCCTCCCGTCTACAGGTTTACATTTAACCTGCATTGCTCTCGTTTCTCGCCAAATATTCTCGTTGTTGCCTCACAGTTTATCTGAAATGTCTTTTCTTAAAATAGTCAAGAAAAGGAAACGCCACAGTTATTTATTAGCTCTGCTCAGACTGATGTTTCAGCAGAGGAGGCGTAATAGGGGACGAAGTGACCCTCCCCCCTCTGCACCGTGTTCAGAGGTGGTAACAGAGGAGAGACGGGATCAGCTGATCCAGCCGGGGGAGTACAGCGCTGTGTGTGTGCATGTCTTGACTGTGTGTGTGTGTATGTGGAGCTCCTGCTGTGCCGTGCTTCCAAATAATCCCACCGTCGCAGAGTCAATATGAACGTACAAAGACGTGAAGACGGCTGAGCTTAGTTACGACACTAAGCAGTCTGAAAAGGGATTTTGCTTTAATGAAGATGCTCAGAAACAAATTCCTGCAGCCGGTAACAAATACCTCGTTGGGACCCAACACACTCTCACAGTTCATCTTCTAACATGCGACATGAGAGCCTTTCTGTTTACACATATGGCTCACACTGCTGACACTTCATGCAGGAGAACATTTCACTGTTTCACTTCCATTGAGCCACAGGAGCCGTGGTTGTCGTCTCAGGGGTATTTAGAGGCAACTTGTGATGATCCTGCACCAACAGCAGTTTAAAGCTCGGAACAAACAGGAGGTCGGAGCGTTTCCTTGCACGAGTTTGACGGTGCAGACTGATCTGGATATTTATCTTTGCTCTTCCAGATATGACAGAGGGATGTTGTGACTGGGATTACGGAAACATTCGCTCGGTTTATTTGTTTTCCTTCTCCGGGGACTCAGTCTGGATCAACTCTCCGGCTGCTTCCAGCTTCACTTAAGCTGAAATCTGTCTCGGTACAGCGTCGTGAGCACAAAATCAACAGATTTAATGACAATAAACGGGTTGAAAAGATGCTGCATCAACCACATGATGATGATGATGATGCAGATTTGTCAAAAGTCTCATGATTTATCAGGTCCGTCTGTAGGATGGCGAGAAGACAACTTTTAAAATGATTGTTTTTTTAATCCCCTGTGTAAATGTGTCTCTGAGTCACGACTGTCTAAAATGAGTGAGAAGCTCGAGTCCTGCTGGCTGTGCTGTTCTTAGCGCTGTGTTTACCTCCTCCCCTTGTGTATAAAAGCTGTTTTAGTCAAGGACTAGAGAGAAGAAGAACATACTCAC